AAAAGGCAAAAGATGGCTACATCCGGGCACAGGACATTGTTGACTACGTTGCCACAAAGGATGTCCAGGAGCAGCTTGGGGTGAAGGCACGAGGAATCACCGTTCGAATGGCTCGACGCTGGTTGAAGAAGTTGAACTGGCGATATACCCGCAAATGGAATGGCATGTACATTGATGGCCATGAAAGGGAGGATGTGGTTGCTTATCGGAAAGCATTCATGTCACGCTGGCAGGAATATGAGAAGTGTTTCATTATTTATGACAATGATGGCAACGTACTCTCTAAACCAGCTGGCTTCCCTGTCCCTCAAATCGGCCACTTCCACTTGATCCTGGTCACACACGATGAATCAACGTTCTATGAAAATGACAGACGCAAGACAAAGTGGACCCACTTCCAAGAAAAGGCAACAATGGAGAGAAAAGGAGAGGGGCCATTGATCATGGTGTCCGAATTCTTAACACCTGATTGGGGGCGGCTAAAAGACGGAGATGAGTGAGTAACATTCAAATGATTATCCACCACTCAAGGCTGATCATCGAGTGAAAAAAGCGAGGCACGTATCCTCTTCAGAGCGGGGAAGAATTGGGATGGTTACTTCGACAATGACGATCTGATCAGTCAAGTGGATCATGCTATTGACATTTTTGAGGGACTCACCAATGGCTTTGCAACTGGTCTTTTCCTGTTTGACAATGCACCGAGTCACCAAAAGCGGGCAATGGATGCCCTCTCTGCTCGGAAAATGCCCAAAAATGCCCATGCAACATGGACACATCACAAAGATGGCCCAAAGATGAGGACCACCTGCTTCGGTGAGCACAGCACTATCCAAGACTTCTATTACCCAGATGATCACCCCACCATGCCGGGCTGGTTTAAAGGGATGGAGAATATTATCCGGGAGCGCAGTCTGTGGCCACAGCGGGGGCTCAACGCGCAGTGTGAGGGGTTCAAGTGTGAGCCTGGGAAGACGGACTGCTGCTGTCGACGGCTTCTATTCACACAGCCCGATTTCGTAAATCAGAAGTCTCGCCTTGAAGAGTTAATCACTTCCCGCGGTCACATTTGTGACTTCTACCCAAAATATCACTGTGAACTCAATTTCATTGAGCAGTATTGGGGGGCAGCAAAGCTTCGGTATCGGAATAGCCCCAAGACAACTGATATAAAGGAGATGGAGAGGAATGTACTTGCCTGCCTCGACAATGTTCCTGATGTTTCAATCAAACGGTGAGTGTTTATTTTCACTTCCATCAATAAATGGATCTAACGCGCTGATTAGATATGCCAATCGCGCTGCTCGATTTATCAACGGATACTTCCAGGGACTTACAGGCCCCGAGGCAGCGTGGGCAAACAGGAAATATCACGGCCATCGCACACTTCCTGCGTCTGTTGTTGCTAAACTTAAGGAGGAGTTCTTAAAGAGGTTTGGGGGGTCCAAGTAAATATTCTACTGTACTCTGACTTGTATTCCGAGGGTCAAAATTTTTGAAAATTTTCGAGAGCGAGATTTTGCCACCCTTGGCGCTTATATAATACAATTATATAAGCTAGCTGGTTCCTGATGGCCTCTACCTTATCACGGAAATTCATCAGAAGCTAATCAGAAATTACAGTGTCAGTTTGAACAATAGACTTTCGGGATGGGGTCCCGAGATAAACGCTCCATCTCGGTCGGTCGTCAGACGCTTTCGGAGAGGTGCACTGTTCGAGAAGATCTCTCATCAAGCCGACTCGGTAGCCGGAGAGGGCTTGCGAGGAAGTGTAGAATCGTACATGGGTGGGGAGTTTCATTTATTTCGCCGCCCTGTCCTGCGCGTGGTGAAGACGTTTCTCTCTCTGGATCCAGAGCTTCGGACAAGTCGGTCTTTCTTTGCCCAGGTTGTTGGATGTCAGAACTTGTTAATTTTCAGATCATGAGAGATAATTAATGAGAGTCTTGGGACGTACAACAGCACTGTGATTGATATTTATACTTAAATACAAAAGCGAGATATAGGAGAGCTTGAACACGAAAACAGAAGACACGAAAGCATACTGAAAGTGGAAGATATGATCATGGTGGTATAATTAAGCTAATAAGTTAAATAAGCAAAGACAACGAAATCAAAGAGACATCTTTCTCTGAAGGAGCTGCTTATCGAGCATGCTCCTCTTCCACCAGCCCTTGCTCACTCCTTTGAGCGCATACGCCCTACATCTTGCGGCCTGTGGATGATCGTTCTTTCGATGAGCATCCTTCAATTGGGTGAGCGCATACCCCAACGCATGACGCTTGACCGAGTCACGCCTTCGCTTGACGGGCGTCACACAAAGGCACTCGAACTCAGTACACGACACCGCCTCGAACTCTCCATCGTGCTGACCTGATTCACGGATATGCCGGTACATGTCCCCATACCGGCTCGTGACGTGTGTACTCTGGCGTGTTTGACAGAGCCTGCAGAAGTAACGGCCGTCCGCCTCGTAGTACTCCTCGGAAGTGAGCGGAATCAGGCGTCGCTTCTTCTTCAGCGGTTGCTCTTTGTCTTCAGTTACCGATGAGGATGGGGAAGGAGCAGTTATGCTGGATATCTGAAATGGACTTGCAGTAGCTGTCTGAAGGTCGTAGACTGGGGCGAGAGGTGCATTCGATTGAGACACAGACATGACGGTTGGATTGAATGTGAATGGGATTGAGGGAAGTGGGGGAGACACGCAAGGGTATGGGCTCGCTATAGTTGCTGTCGGCGCTTCGAGAGGGGAGGCTATGATAAGAGGTAACGGATGGCTTGTCGTTGGAGCAGGGGAGAGGGAAGCATGCGTTCCGTATAGTCCCTGGTAGTATGGCATCGTTCCGGAAGCATAGCGTGTCGTCGGTGTTGGCAAACGAGTCTCTTGCAAAGGGCATTCTGCAGCGTGATGGGCTATAGGAAGAATTGCACCATGGTTATAGGTGTGTGGGCGGTAGTAGGTCCTATTTTCGAAGTGTTGAGAATGAATTGTGCGACATACTGAATTAATGGGCGTACCTGGGCGTCGGACGAGTCGAAAGACCTTCCCCCGTCAGAACAGCAGGCCTGTTCGACGGAATGAGCAGTTGCGACTCCAACGCTACGCGAGTCGCTTCACACGACCGCGCGGCATCATAACGAGCAGCCCCAGACGACGTCGCGGTGGCATAATTTGAATGTTGGGATGGAGAATCGCCCGAGTTGTCGCATGAGATAAGGGCAGCGAGACTGAAGAGGAAGTCCGATCAGCTTGGGCAAAAGAAATGAGAGATTAAACTCGCCTGTAAGCCAAATTATTTAAGTCTTCCATCGTCGTCGAGTCGATGACGACAGCTGAGTCCTCCGATGTCGGTGCCCCATGGAAGAGGAGTGCGGCGAGCTCTTCGGCAGACGTGGCGAAGTGGTTCATCATTGGAATGAGAAATGAAACAGGACGGAAGGAGGTCGTTAGGAGGGGTTGGGTAGTAGGTAGAACTTTCTTGATTCTGAGAGAAGACTATGTCGATCGAACGCGCACTTTATATCTGCTCAGAGCGTGCATCAGGCTCAGAACTGTGCATACAAAATAGTCAAATTGGGATTCCGAACGATTTAAGTTTGTTGATTCAGGGGTGTACTCTGTCCGCATTGTTCGCATTTTGGTTACGCGTTCGTTTACTTCTCTTCTCCTTTGTCAACGTTCGATCACTTGTTAAGCAATCTGGGTAGAGAATGTGACAAGCGAAACGTCGGTTACCGTAAGTAGCAACCGACCCGCCACCCTCGAAGCCTTTCACAAAATCATATCCCCATATGGAACTCGTACCTTAAAGACAACCGACGATCACCCTCGAACCACATCACAAAATCACATTGCTCCCGACAACGACAGGGATCGGTACCGACTTCCTCGCGCGCATGACCACCCAGCCGACTATCTTGTCCAATTGCATCGTACCGGTTACCAGAGCATACGACCCATTAGTCCATGAAAGTGGGACACCACCGAAACACCCCGTCGAGAGAAGGGGGGTAGTAGAGGGAATGAGCATCAGCAAATCTTGTTTTCCAGTCATAGCGCGGTATAGCATATGTCCTGGGCCTTATACTATCTAATTGAAAAGATGTAGCAACCTGTAGTATGGGATTGCTATCAACCCATGGCAGAATGCTCTGGAGCGACGTGTAGCGGATGCTGCGTGGGTCCATAGCATCCCGTAGCAAACGCGAGGCCAAGAAGTTTGTCCGCTTCCTTCACGTAATGTGATCTTATCTCGAAATCTAAGTCATAGAAGTCCCATCTGCTCGTTCTCTTCGTCTAAGTTTGCGAGACCTCCCCTAAACTGGTCACGCCTGTGTTGAACTTCCCGAGAAGGTATCAGCCTCGAAGTTGCTGTCCCACGCCTTGAACTTCAACTCACATCCATGACCATCTCTCGCTACCGTCTGCTCCTACCGCTTCCCTATTCGTGGCAACAACACCATGCGTACGGCGTCTGTGTTACTATCCCATCGTCATTCGACTGGCCCTCACCAAGCCCTCACAGGACGACGGTGCAAACAAGTTCGACGTTGGGCTCCAGGCAGTGGAAGCTAAATCGGTGGGTGCGGACATGAGCGTGTAACCCCCCTTCTTACGGTCTTTCCTTCCATTCATTGCTCAATGAGCTGCAGCATGGAGCTGCCCAGGCCGCGAAGTGATTAAAATCAAACCTTTGGAGCCTTCCAATCATTCAATCGCATGGAGGGGGTACTCATGTGCGTTTCCTTCAAGCTCTTTTTTCACTAGCTTATCACCCTGACTCGAAAATTTTGCGTCCATGAATAGCATTCGACTTCAACTTCATTCCCAAATCCACTGCTTTTGACCAGGTGAGTCGACGATTCTTGATTCTCGCCTGGCATTGGGTGGTCTCTAGGTTGTCAGGAAGCACGAATATATGAGAGCGTCATGTCCACACCGCGTCCACCGTGATCAGGATGACTCGGTGAGGCGGCTTGTAGATCGCAGATAAGTATGGTACCTTATTGGGTTCAAATTGTATTAACCCGGCTCTACATAATGCATATACTCTTCGATTAAGGTGTCAAGTGGGATTTGGGATAACAGTCAATTCCAACATTAATTTATTCTGAGCAACGAAAATGTCCTATTTCAGTTTCTATACGGGGGCACGACAAAAGTATGGACTCGCCGTGCAATGGTACTGAGTGCTCCGTAGCATTCCGTAGCATTCAGAGTGTGATACGTAGCCCAAGCAGGGCGCTAGGAACAAAAGGATGTCCACTACAGTGCTACAGTGCTACGGAGTGCTGCGTAACCTGGTGTAGTGTGATCAGGATTTGCTGATGAGCGGAAGCATCGAGGATAGCGGATTTCGATAAACACGAGTGGAAATAAGAGGTGTCTTCCCCTCCTACTTGTGACGACATTCTTGCCTTTCTTATTGCTTATTCCAGCAGCGTAGCTCTAATCCTTCAGTCCAAAATGTTGGTTGTAAAGAAGATTTTCGGATATGAAGACACTCGGAAACCTCGAGCGTGAAACTCGAGTCAAGATCAAAAACGACGACGACACTACCACTAGCAAAGCGAGCGACTGTACTTCAAGGGCGAAGTTATACGGTTCCTCGTCCTCTTCTTCTTACTCTTCATTTTCATTGTAAATCTTGTGACCCTTTTCATTCACAACCCCTTGCGATCATTCCCGTCTCCAGATAGCCGTCGAGCCCCTCAACGCGTTCTATACCTTCCTTCTCGAACGCTTCCCACCAGTGGCTCTTCGCCCGCGCAATCACATATTGCATACTCGGCTCCTCCTGCCCGAACTTTGTCTATCACAGCCGGACCGAAACATATTTTTTTGCCAAAAAACTTCAAACAGTCCTTAAAGAACCTATTAACAATTGATGCGTGGTTTGGGCAATGTAAACTAAGGGGAAAGCATTTTAGGAACTCTCCACATATTTTATGAGACAAAGAGGCGCTAACAAAGATTCAACATGTTTTCCTCCTTGAGGCGGATGACATAATATGAAGGCAAGGGGTTTGGTCAGAAGACAAAGGGAAAGAGGTGCAGAACATTTTATATCTCAGTGAATAGTGGACAACATTTGAAATATAGACCATCGTCGCTGTCTTGTGGCATCCACTCACTAATATTTTGCCTTCCTTTCCCACGTTTTTGAGCATGAGAAGGATGTTCTGAATACTTGATAGGTAGAACAACGACCTATACAAAATTTTGGGACAAAAAACTCTCTTGATGCCTGCTGTGTATTTCGTGTGCCGGCCCTCGACGTCGCCCCGTCGGAGTCAGAGTCCGAGAACTCGCACCCTCTGGAATCTCCCCATAAGGGAAGTATCCTCATTTATCCAGGACTCAAAAGCTTATCATTTGGCCAGGGTCGGACTCTTATTGTTCAGCTCACAGGTGATCAGAGGCGATCCCGCACATTTTGACTTCGATTAGGCGATCTCACCGCCGGCAAATTACTTGTTGCTGCAGTACCTGACCACTTCTCATCCCCATCGAGCAGGGCAGATCAACGGAACCAAATTTTCCTGTGCTCGTGTATGCGATGATTTGGGTTTATGGGCGCATTTTCTTACTCTATGAGGCTTGAGTACGAGTGCTCGAAAAAATTGCATGTTTTTCTCTATTTTTCAGGATCTTATGGAAGAGAGGGGGGAAGCGCGCCAAGCGCCAACTTCGATAGCGCACGAGTGGCACGGACCATAGCGAGACGCCGTGAGCGTGTCGTCGCTTCTTCCCGGAAAGCCAGAAACCTTGAGAGTGCTCCAAAGTGAGTTCATTTACGTCTGTAACAGTCTGTAGACAAATCGGATTCGGCGCAGGACGCCGGGCCTGAGATTCAGGTGGCTGCGCCTTGGCCAATCAACTAATTGCTTCCATTCAGCAACACAGAAACCAAGAACACTTCCAAGTGAGTGCGCACAAGTCCATGGACAGGTTGGATCCTGTCGATGATGCCAAGAAGACACCTCATGTCGTGCTTTGGCCCATCGACGAAACGCGTCGCCGACTCCGACGCTCCCCACCCAAAACGAGCACCTGACTCGCAACACACACCCCCATTTGGACGAAAATTGCAGAGAGACTTCAGCCATTCCATTAGATTACATTCTGTAGTCGTTGAACAATGGGATTGACCGTGAGATTCATCGGCCGTGCGGGGCGGTTGAACGCGCACCCTCCCCTATTCGACGAGTGGCTCGCGTTCGCGCTTTGCTATATAACAGCGCTTTGGCTATGCTCAAAGTGTTCGCCATTTTCCCCTCACCGCCAGTTCACTCAGACGTCCCATTTCCCTTCCTTCTATTTTCAACCCTATCCCCAAGATGTCCACCAGTCTCGTCATTCCTACGGACGCAGACTTCATGTTTCTGCCCGCTCAATGCTTCTCGGAGGGATTCAACTTCGAAGAGTGGCAGTTGTCGAAGTGAGTATTCCCTCTCTACCCTCACTTTCTATGACTAAAGGTCAAGCAGCGAGAACGAATTCGGACACCTCTACTCTGAATATTGGGTTAGCCTGGAGCCCATGGCACAGGATCCTGGGCTCCCAAATGCCTTTGAGCTTGTTCAATCGAATAACGACGATGACGTCCATCCTCCATTCACAACCGACGACGACATTAGACCCCCAATAATACATGCTTCGTCCTATCCTCCCTTTACAGCGCTGCCCCTTCTGGCAACCGAGTATGACAACACGACGATGTCAGCTCCGACGGGGCTGGGGCTGCAGCCTAACCTCCCCAACGACATTCACTTCCCTGGCGGTGGCAGTGTAACAGCCGACAATTCTTTGACGCCCGCGACTGCATATCCCCTAGAATCGCTCCCGTCCTCCGACTTCACCTTTCGTGTCGCGCAACCACTCTACCCTTCACCTCGCCATTGCCCTGCACAATTTCCGGCCACTTCTTCAGACTATCTAACATACAGTGGCTCCAATGCGCCAATGGACAATTTCGGCATCATGCAGGCTGCGAGTTACGGTCTCGTTCCTTCGTTCAGCTCACATCCTTCGGATTTATTATTTGTTCCACCGGCACACGACCAATGGATTGCTTTTGAGCCCGTTCAACCAGCTGACAGCAGTTCCAACCCCCGGTCAGGCTTTGGGAAGAGGCGACCAAGAGTTGACGATGGGAGCGCAACGGCGGCGGCACAGGCGCCACCCAAGAAGCGCCGGAGGGTGCAAGCGACAGCCACCCCGTCGCCCAGCGCAAGTGCTAGCCGGTCTTCCCCTCCGCTTAATCAAATCGCCTCATCCTCGCGGTTGTCAACTTCCCCTTCGTCTCCCTCAGCGTCCTCGTCTTCCACCTCCATCTCGTCTCACGGCGCGTCCACGTCCACCTCGCCGGCCCCTTCTATACAGTCGTCCAACTATGTCCACCTTGCGGACGGACGTTATCAGTGCAAGGTATGCACTGGCAAGGCTGCATTTGCCGACACGGAAAAGGAGATCGTCCGCCACCTGGAGACCGCGAAGGCTCACAATCCCGAGCGGATCTTATGCAAGAACACCGTTTACCGGTGCCCTTGCCGCAGCCCGCGCCTTCTGGGGAAGAGGAAGGACTCGCACAAGCGCCATGTGCGCTCGTACATAGTCGCGGAGAGGAGTGAGGCCATCGAGTTGGGGGATCAGGAACGCCTCAACGAGGTGAACGCTTATGAGGCACGGTTGAGGAGCGAGAGGCTGCTTTGAATTCCCTTCCCTCGTACGGACTATCATTATTTGCTTTGCTTGTGCTTTCAAACTCGCTATTCCATCCAATGTTTGCTTTCCAAGTAGCTTTCCAGCTTTCGTGTCATGTATATTCGTGTACTTCTAGTGTAGCTTTCAATTTTCACTTCCTTTTTACATGCGCCGAAAAGCTCCCTCTTCCTGGAAAAGCTCCGAGAATGGATTGATAGCGTGCGAGACGGAAACTTACATTAAGAGACCGACTCGCCGTCTGGACGGCCGTTCGATGTGAGGATTCACGACTGGGTATTCGATATCACCTGCATTTAATCTAACGTACTACATACGTTCTCTGTTGAATTGCTAGCACCGTCAAATTTTTCGAAGACGACGGGCAGATAGTAACAAATGAAGAGGGGGGGTGTAAATTAGCCAGATGAATCATTTTAGCTCGTATCTTTACCTCCGTCTCCAGAGGGAAGTATCGCACTCCTACGCCCCGTCGCTGTTCCGAGAATATTCCGGAAAGCCAAATTATGTGGGATAAAATAACTGATGTTGTGCGGCAGGAACTTCCGCCGTATGGTACACCGACATCCTCCCCGACCGCCCCTCATCCTCTGCGACCTACCAATTCGACAACGACGCGCCCGTGTCATTCACCATCCCCCAGGTCGACGCCCCCACATTTAATATCCATACGCGTCGATTCCTTGCCGCGCACGCTCAACGTGACATACAGCGGTGCGAGTGGGGAGTCGCCGCTCTCGTTCAAGTACATTGAAGTCAACGACCAGACAGAGGATATTGGATTCCTCGTGGATCTGGGAGGGAGTAAGAGCAAGGTGGGGCCCATTCCCGTCCCTCCGTTATATACCCCTGTTTCAATATTTACATAAGTCCAAAGTGACTGATAAATAGAACTACCAGACGGTCTTGAAACTGACAATTTAAACCGGTGGTGAGGTGGAGGCGGACAAACCCCTTCTTCTTCCCTGCTTTTGCCTTACTCTCTCATTAACGGAACCACACGTCGATTCAGGATGCCACGGACAACCCACACCGTCCTCCCTCCCTCCTGGCCCGCTTCATTCGCCACAGATCTTGCCAATTCCTCTCTCCAGAGTGCGATTCACCGGCGCTATAGAACTCCTCGCAATCGGAGAACTGCGATAGCAGGCTATTCCATGCCTTGTCCATAGCGAGCATGGATCGAGCCGCTTCCATCTTCTACCGATTCCAGGCGGCTGACCCCAGCGCAGCGGCGGAAGTCCTCAACGGTTTGGCAGGCTCGGGAGACCCTAGTGACAGCCGCCTTCTCGGTTTTCTCCTCGAGTGGGTTCTTGAGAGGGATCCAGATGCAGGCTCGAACCTCATACGTTTGTATGACGGTCCCAGATTCTTCCGGCCGTCTGCCGTTGCGCGTCAATCCACGAGCGCTAGTTTGGGCTACCTGAATGTTACGAATGCCGGCTCTTTTCTCATACTCTCCAACCTGTTCGCAAAAGCATGGGCAATCGTCATCAGCGGTGTGTCATTATCGCGCTTCGTTATCCCCAATGATATTGACAAGGTCTTCATAGTACTGGAATTACTATTCCCAGGAACCTTACGCGAAATTCGAGAATGGGTGGCTGCAGCGCAACTTTAATTCTTTTTCAAGCTTCCATCCGTTTTCTCTTTCAATCCAATTGCTTCCCCTGCCGCTCCAAAAGTCGTAAAATTATTGCCCGAGCTTGTAAAACTTCATGGAAAGGCATTCACAATTACCACTTGCTAGTTCACGGTCTTCCCAGATGCTACGAAGGGAATCAGAACTATTCAGTCCATCAAAATTTTTTGTCTGATTCCCTTCGTCTTCAACGAAACGCGTCCTAGTGCCCATCGCTCAATAATCACCCTTGAGCGGTGCACATGCGCGGCGCCGGCGACGTATCCACCACCCCAAACCCAGGACACACAGCAAGAACGCTAATCCTCCCAGCACGCCACGTTGAAGCTCCGACTAAAATAGCCTTTGACCAACCTGGCCACTCTGGGTCGGCAGTTACGCTTCTCCTTCCACCTCCCCGACCTCAGAAACCTCAGAAACGTGAATCGAGGTAGTTAAAATGCTTCTCACAGCCAAAATATTGTCTCATAATTGTGCCAGGAGATTGATAATGTCCAACAACAGCGGGCTGCCTCAAGAACTGTTTGACCAAATCATCGATCATCTCGGGGATGAATATATCCAGAGCCTCAAATCCGACCAGCGCTCCTCTTCCACTCAAGCTTGTAGAAGGAATCTCATCTCGTGTGCCCAAGCGTCGTCCTTGTTCTATCCCCGAGCAAGCTCCTTCCTTCACTCCAAGGTCTATCTATCTTTTCAAGGCTCTCCCACTGATTTCTCCAAAAGAATGTCTACTCTTGCCGACATTATGCTTTTACGAACAAGTAAAACAGGATTAATGACAGGAATTGCCCCTCATATCCGAGAGTTCCACGTCTCGGTTGAGGGCTTATTCTTTGGGGCATTGAGCAACACTCGGGCCTTTGGCGCAGTCGATTTCGACAAAGTTTTTTGCGGGCCCGTGAAATAATACTAATACTGGAACAGCTCGACGACGATAATCTCGCCATCGTCCTCGACAGGCTTCATTCCAGGGATCACGGCCTCGCCAAATTCCATTTGGTGATGAACTCGGCAGCCAGTGTGATCCGATGGAGCGATTTGTCCCCCAAGTTCCGAAGAGCATTCCGCGATCTCACTGTATCCCCTCACCTGACTTCCCTTGTGATTGACGCCCCATTTTGCGACCTTCCTACTTCGCTTCTGGATGGCACGAGCATTATCGATCTGCGACTGGAGCAATTGCTCGGCAGTGGTGGTTCACCAGTGGATTCAGGAGTCGATGACCGTGCAGAAGATCTCAGGCCACCTCAAATCCAACTCTTTCATACAAATCATGGGTTTTCGATTGATCTTGACCCACTCACGTCCCCGTTATTGCACCTGAAGGATTTTACAACAACTGGTATTATTCTGGATCAACACCTTCACACAGAGACGATCCTGAAGTTGGCCAGTGAATCTCTTGAACGAGTCAATCTCGAATACTCCGGTAAGTGCTAGTTTACGATCTAAAGATATATTCGCATTTGCAGACGAGTTTCCATTGCCATCGCTCGACCTGAGCAAGCTTCGACACCTCCGAGACCTCTCCATCATCCAGCGACTCAACGAGATGTACGTACAGCCTTACGAAAGCGTGAATTACCCGCCTATAACGAATACATGCGCCTTCCTTGAGGGCAACGCTGCGCCAGTGGACAACCTCGTCGAACTGAAGCTCAGGTTCCTCATTCAAGGAAACAATGTCGAACCCGACTTTCTGACACTGTTCAACGCCGAGTCCCAGGTCACACAACCCTCTTCCGAATTTCAGTGGGAGAGATTGGATCGGATTTTAACAACTGCGACTCGGTTTCCGTCTTTGAAAATGTTCCACCTGGAACTACGGCTCGGGATTGACCTCGATGACGAAGAGTTCCCATATTTCGACCCGAAAGTGTTCTTCCAAGCAGCGGAGACGCATCTCAGGGCCGCTCTTCCTCGGATAGCCTCCTTTACTAACATAGCATTGACTTTAAAAGTGCACGGAACACTGTATCAGACGAAAGCTCTGGACTATGTTGGGCACATGGAGATGGGGTCTGGTGGTGGGCACGATGAATTACCACCTTTAATGGATTAGTTTTTGAAGAGGCTAGAAAAGATGAATTAGTTGAGTAGCCGGTGTCGATTGTCCATTGGTTCTAGGTCAGCATATATAACTCATATTCCTGCCGATTCTGACTGGCTGATCTGCTCGAAAAGCTCTCTCGGATTCCTGGTCAAATTAAATAATAATAATCACGTCCATGGTTTCGTGCACGATGCACGCATTGACGGGCGATATAAACATTAATATTAACCGGTGAAAAAGTTTCAAATTTTTCTATTTTGCACGCCCTCTTTCTCTCCACCCTCCCCACCATTTATAAGGCCTTCCTCTTGTCGATCTCCCCGCCGTGACCCGGAATTCGCACGTCGTTGATCTTCATGTGAACCTTCCAGTCTAAATTGCGGTTGTTCGCGCTTACGATATCTGTCTTCAACTTGACACACCCGCAGCCTCTACTTACTTCAGTCACCACTAACGTTCAACTTCAACCAGAACTTCAAGGTAATTAATATTAATCTCGTTCTACGCTGCATGGACTCCGAACGACCTCGTAGATCTCGTCATCGCACTAGTGAACGATATGCGCCTCACGCCGTCGTTGCGGACGAGTTGCATGCAACGGGCACTGGCACGATGCCTCTCCCGTCTCCCCAACCGCCCTGCACGGTTATGGAACGCTGACAGGCCTCGAAGAACGTGCTTGTCTGCTGAATTCTATTGGAATGGCAACAGGGCTTCGGGCTACTCGACAGAAACAAATGCGGTATGTTCCGCTATGGTTATCCTAAATACATGTTTTCATTGCAAGCACCAGAAACCTCCACAGAGGAACTTCAAGAAGCATATGCCGAAACAACATCGCGAAATCATCACATTAGATGCTGCGAAGATTCCATCCTCCGGCCAACTCGCGTATGCTATAGTGGTGCTCGGTTCAAAATGACACAGTTGAAGCCGCCTCAGCTTTTCATCGCTTATTACACAATCGCTGACTGTCAACATGTCCCTTTTCCGGCTGGGTCAACGGGTGTATTCTACTATCATCCACCTTCCCCTGGTGCACCAGTCCTCACCGGTGAGCTGCGCTTCAAGCTATGTACGGACCTCGCCTCCTTCGCGACCTCTCGCGCCCTCCAGCTCCCCAACGAGGCGAGGCCATGGTCATTGAACCTCTATTCGATTTTAACAGCACCTAAGTGGATAGCACTCCGCCAGATGCTCGTCCGTGATCGCCTCGTGTCACCTGTTATGGTAGAAGCAATTTCCAACCTCCCGCGGGTAAACATCAAAAAATCACGGATTTTGTACTCCCTTGAACAGCCTTTCGAAATCGAGCTGGGGCAAAAAAAGATTTCGTTTGTGATTCTCGGCCTCAGGCACGCGGCTCTTTTCAAAATCCATCACATGTGCTCCGGAAATGAGACGCGCGACCCAAGCTACACAGGTGAGTCTTCCCCGGAATCTGTTGGAATTTGGCCCTGCTCACCCTAGTAGGACGTATCAGGGCACGCTTCGAGCTTTCTACCCAACCTGAGCACTCTACCAAGGGACCAACGCTCGTCCTGCGTGTCCTCGAGCTGCTAAGCCCGCTCAAGTGCCACATTCCCGGGAAAATGATAGAACCTTGCCCCGGTGAACTGCTCAGCAGACACGGCCATGGCGGGTCCTACGTGTGGTCTTGCCCGCTCGAAGAACGGGATCTCGTGCCTGTGTTCGGAGAGTTCACCCCCTGTTGGCTGAAGATAAGGTTAAGCGGAAAATTCGCAGGAGATCCGGGCGCTACTTTACTTTTTTGCCGGTGGAGGAAATAAGGGAGGAAACGGATTAAACGATAGCTAATATATCTAGGCTGCACACCGTCTCTTTCCCGTCTCTTTACCGTCACGATTGCAGGATGGCAGGAGAGGCTTATTTGCACCAGATACGCAAACGTCATCGCGGTCCCAGAATTACAATGCAGCTACTGTCTCCACCTCGTCGAACCGATGCGCCGTTCAATCCTTCCCCTTCTCAGGAAACTCATACAACCTCCACCTTCTGTGAATACCATCGTTCCAACCCGAATGCACACGCAGCACTCCGTCGGATTGGTGTTGGGGATTGATGACGGCCTCCTCTCCCGCCCCCGCGAACTCTCCCCCTGATTCGAGAAGCTGGCAAAGTCAAGCTGAAAAACTTCCTTCCAACTTACGCTCGCGATAGTTCTGACGCCGGTCCGGAAATAATACTATTTTGATCATAATTTCCCAAATAGAACATTCTCGAATGCCACAAAATTACAATTACCCTTTTTCCTCATCCACGACGAGCACGACGAGCACGACGTCGTCGTCCGTGTTATTCACATCCTCCGACGTTGCTCCTTTCGTTATCGACGTGTAAACGATGGTCAACAAGAAGTCAAAGTCTGCGGCAAAGAAGCGGCAGGCAGCAGCCACGGCAGCAGGTTCGCCTTCAGCTTCAGCCTCCATGCCGAACGGTGCTACTGACAGGTATGTCAGCGTTAGGTCGACGGGAAGACAGACGTGAGGAACGAGGATGCAGTTCTGACATTTTTCTGCAGCCGGAACGGCTCAACAGCGTCGGGCTCGAGCTCGCCAAAACCGCCACCGACACCCCCGTTGGCGGATCCGCCGACGCCTACTCCAGAACCAGAGCCAGAAGACATCGTGAAGCGAGCGGAGAATGTGAAGGAGCAGGGGAACACCGCGTTCAAAGCCGCGAGATATACCGAGGCAGTCGACCTGTACACCAAGGCCATCGGTGTGTATCAGTGCTTTCGGGATTTTTCTTCCTTTCTAATGTCTTTTGCAGAGCTTAACCCACTCGAACCAGCCTATCTGACGAACCGAGCAGCGGCGTACATGGCGCTGAAGCGATTCAGACCAGCACTGGAGGACTGTCAAGTGGCCGCCTCGCTGCAGTCCGCGGCGCCGTCGCCCAAGACACTGCTGCGCCTCGCCCGATGCCAGCTGGCCCTAGGGTCCTCGACACCAGCGCTGTCGACGATCCGGAGCATCCTCGCGATCGAGCCAAAGAATGTACCCGCGATCCAGCTGCGCGAGAAAGTGCAGGTGCTGGAGAACCACGTCCGCAACTTTGAGGCTGCACGGCAAAAGAAGGACTGGGGGCTTGCCCGACTCGCGCTGGACAAGTGCCTGCAGGCGATCGAGGGTGAGGGCGGCGATGTGCCACCCGAGTGGCGGTATTGGCGGGTTGAACTCGAGCTGTCGAGAGGGAACTGGGAGGCCGCGAACATGGCTGCAAAGTGTGTTTATTGTCTGCTTTCGCTTCAGTTTCGCTTATTTCTGTTATTAAAACCAGCGATGCGATGCGATTGAACCCCATTTCTCCGGATGCCCTGACGCTGCGTGGTCTTGTGCTATTCCTCAGCGGGCGTCTGCCACAAGCGCTGCAGCATGTGACATCCGCATTGCGGCTAGATCCTGGGCACGAGCCAGCTCAAAAACTGAGGAAACGTGTTAAAGACGTAGAGAAACTGAAGGAGGATGGCAACGTTGCGTTCAAGGCCGGCAGGCTAGAGGAGGCAGTAGATAAGTACACCGAGTGTCTAGAGGTACGCGTCTTCTGTGCATATCTACGTGCTCCACCCACTCATCGTACCATAGCGCATAGGCGAACTTGAGGAAGAAGGCAAGGGTGGGCAGATCCGTGCCACCCTGCTGTCTAACCGTGCTACCACCCTACTCAAACTCGACCGACACGAAGACGCCCTCGTTGACACTGACGCATCGATCGCTCTCTCCCCTAATTCCTTCAAAGCCCTCCGCACCCGCGCACGCATCAATCTCCACCTCGAGAAATACGATTCCTCGATCGCCGACTTCAAGAGTGCGATCGAGCAGGCACAGACGGACGGAGGGGCCACCGAAGGTGACGTGCGCGCGTTAAAGGGTGAGCTGAAGAAGGCGGAAGCAGCGCTGAAGAGAAGCAAGACGAAGGATTACTACAAGATTCTCGGTGTCTCGAGGGATTGTTCGGAGATTGAGATTAAGAAAGCATACAGAAGAGAGAGCTTGAAGCACCATCCTGATAAGGTGTGTCAGACCCGCGACTTTATGCGATTATCGCTCATGAAGATAATTTTTACTAGGGTGGAGATGAGGAAAAGTTCAAGCTTGTTGTGGAGGCACACTCTGTCCTCTCCGACTCTCGGCGGCGCGAGCGGTACGACCTGGGCGAGGACGAAGACGGCATGAACGACGGCGGAGGCGGAAACCCCTTCGGCGGAGGCATGGGTGGTATGAGCCCGATGGACCTTGAGGAGATCTTCGCCTCCTTCGGCGGTGCGGGTGGAGGTCGATTTGGCGGTGGTGGAGGCGGCTTCGGCGGTTTCAGCGGTGGTGGTTTTGCCGGTGCCAGCGGGGGTGGTCGGAGAGGACACTCGCATGGCTTCCCGTTCTAAGCTGCGCTGCAGATCGTCTGCCATGATTGTCGTGGACTCGTGCATATGTGAGGTTCCGTCGCTGCTCGTTTGGTTTAATCATCGCCTCTCACAGGTGGTGTCACGCCAATATTTTGTTGTCTTGTACATTCATTATTCTTTGTTCCATATCACATCCATTTTTCTCTCTCTAACGTCTTGTTGAACGACCCAAGTTGTGCTTCCATGCTGTGTTAGACACGTCTCTCGCAAAATATCTTCATCTGCCCAACCATCGCCCTCTGAAGCTGAACTATAAATTCATAATTGTACTTAGCCTCGATAATTTAATATGCTGAGTAGGGGAAACAGGGACTTGGCTTGCAAACACGCCTGGCGCCATAGTGATAGAACGGCTGCGTATGGTGCTTGCTTTCGTTGCGCAAAAGGATGGAGATCCACAACAGTCGGAACACATTCCAGGGCGAGGTGGCCTGAGACTCGGGGTGTCGCAGAAGCCAACATGTAGATAGGAAGGGAAAACCACCTTTCTATGATACGAGGATGAGCGTTGCGGACGAAGAGACATGGAGTAAAACCTCACGCTAAATATCCACCCGGAGAACAACTAGAAGGCTAAGAAGTCCAATTTGCTCTTCAGGAGAGCCGCGAAGTCGTTTTCGGTATGCACACCCAACGCCATCTGCCTGTCAGTATCCCTCTCTAGTTTCGCGATATATTCAACAGCACCGCATAGGCTGAGAACCTTGGCGAAAGCCGCGTGGATGCAAATAAATGTTGGATCGGGCGGGCTAATCGCACTGTCGGTGGCAAACTGCACATCCGCCTCACGCTCCCAATTCGAGAGATAGACATTGTCTCGCGTCATCCTTAACTTGTACTTGTGCGGGTCATCCGGGTACTAAAAGAGCGTTAGTATCTCTAATAGTCTGTTTATGAAGGTGGCACTCACTGCATCCTTGTCAAGATAGAAAGCAAATTTGCCAAAGAGGATGTGCTCGGAGGATGTCATAAATATGGCATTATCAGGCTTCATGATCTTATCGCTCACGAGCTCCTCGAAGTCAATGCCGGCCCAGGCTTTCAACATATCCCATGTTCGTGCAGAATCCCTCTGAGAGATATAGGTGAGCGAGGTCTTCATGGATGGAGAAGGTCAGGGCCCACCAGGTCCTTTGGAACCGCTTCTTTGAAGTTGTTAAAGCAGAAAGGAATAATATACGCGGCCGCCATCGTAGATAAATGCACAGGGCCTTTGGCTAATATATTGGCTCGGGCTTCATCGGTGAGCCCATGAGCGATCCTTGCGTCCAAGAAACCAGTAATTGCACATCGGTGTCGCTCGCGTAACGCAACCTGTTCTCCGAGTGTGCTTTCGATGAGGCTGGTGGTGTGTGGGAGGGTCGGTGTCTGCGAGCGACTGGGCCCGGCCTTTTCATCCCGGAAGAGTGTCATGACTTCAAGGGACGAAGTATTAGCGTAGGTTCCAAAACTCCCCAATCAAACCGACTTGGGAAGAAGAGATGGTGCATCCATGCTTGTGCAACGCGAGTCAGACCGTCAGCGCCATCTTTGGCCGCGGTACGCACTGCAACTGCGACGTAACGTTTTCCATCTGCATGGATAGCGTGCTCCATCATCCCCAATAACAGATTGTGGAGGCTATACTTGTCACTGGCGGCGTCCAAAGCAGCGCGATGCGTTGTGATAAGTAATCGAGCGTCGTGGACGAGCTCTGAGAGCGGCTGACCACCATCAAAAAACTCCGAGTAATCTTCGATGGAAAATGTGAGGATAACCGACAGAGATTCAACGGACGAATGGTGGTTGTGGAACATGGCCAAGCGGAAATGGAGTCTTGGTCCAAGTTCTTGAAGAGTCGAACACATCAGACGGAGTTACAATCATCGGCCCGCTTACTCACGTCGGCGGTGCGAGAACCTTGAAGCGCCCAGAGGCAATAGGCACGTCGGCCCGACGTGCGCGCCACCTGTAACAACCTCAGATATGTTCAATGACGGCCAGACAACGCCTACCGCTGTTGGAAGACAATGGATACATGAGACGAAATGGTCAAAGATCTACGCGTAAAGAAAAGTAGCAGAAGACATATCTATAAATTATCATGACGCAAAATGTAAGCATGAAGTTCCGTATTGAAAGGCATTTATGTAGGGAATCATTGAAAGGGTAATACTATAGTCCATGAGAAGGTATTAAAGTCGTGGCCAACGGCGTCAATCCAGTCAACGCAGCGGCACCGACCAGCAAACACAAAAAATATTAGCAACACGAAGCGAAGACCACTGTTGGCCCCGCATCCATGCGCAAGAAATAAAATAATGAGATGATACCGTAGTTATGAAAACATCTTGAATGGTGGGGACATGTTCAAAAAAAAATGCGATAATTGCGAGAATGCATAGAAGGTCCATGAAAAATGAATAGGAGTTTTCAACTTGTTTGAAGAGACGCCAAGGAACTGAGCGGTTCGGCCCAAGCCCGACGACGTGCACATGATGTATTCTGTCAAGATGTCGCGTGAGCCCGACGATCATGAAACGTGCGCAGATCCTAGAATAGGACCAGGAAGGTAAAGCTCGCCCGCACAGCGGAATCAAGAAGAAAGGAAGACAAGGAGCTAATTTTCTTTCATATCCTCGTCGATGCGGTTCTCAGCCCCGTCAAGAGCGCTGCTCGAGACGGAGAGACCGCGGGCGCGGGCAGAGGTCGGCGCAGGCGACTTCATGGCGGCCGAGACGGGATTAGCACTCGCGAGATTGATGTTCGCAGGCCGCAGCCTTGGAGCCTTAGCCGAGGGGAAGCCAGACTGCTGACTCGGCGGCGAGGGAAGAGGGGTCGTCGGCGCAGGTGCAAGTGGGGCGGGAATGGGGGTCGTGTACACTCTACGGCCGAGGCGACGAGGCCTATTTGTACCAGACGTATCAGAAAATCAGTTTAAGAAAAATCGACGATTTGACACACCTGACGTACTTTGATGATGATGAGATGGCCACCTGCGGTGCATCGACCACGACGCCTGGTCCGACGCTCGAGCAGCTCCCACTGCGCATGCGCCCCACGAGGCTCTTCTCCTCCGTCGCAATGCTCATCCCGACGCTCCCGCTTCTTGACCTTGTCGGTGGGAGCTGCATCTGCATGTGGAGGGCGTTTCCGGCTGAGCGAGCTGGCGAGCGGATGGACACCATCGGCGACGCTCCCAGCGTCAAGCTGGACCGTCTTTTGCGAAGGCGGGGGTGCGAGGAGGAGGAGGACTGGGACCCAGTGGAAGAGGAGAGTCTGCCTGTCTGCGGCGATGGAACAGGTGTTGATTGGTCGATGCTGCCAGGGGTTGGTGTAACGCTTCTCCTGGATCCGGCTGTAACCTCCTTGAGCAGCTCGGCGAGCTCGAAGTCCATGGCCAAATCTTCATGCATGGGCGAAGAAGTGCAGGAAGGCGATGGCGGGCATGACGAGCTCTCCGAGTCCGACGTCGACATACGCAGTTGCGGGCGAGAACTGTGCGGTGCGAGGAAGCCAGACGAGAAGAACGGGGAATAGGAAGACATGGGGTTGACGAAGGTCGTTGACTGCGCCATGTTGTCGAATGATACAGGTATTAGATAGGTCGAAGCTGGTAGGAAAGATGTGGCGGGAATGAAGAAATTGCGGTTCTTGAATTTATGAATGGTTCAACTTTGAGCTGAACATCAACATGACATCAAGCGTGACCAAGAAGGGATCAATCAGCTCACCTCGTGTCCAGAAATGCGTGTTGGGTGTGTACGTTTGGCGATGTCGTGGTCCTTCAAAGACGAGGTAAAGAAAACGGCGGTGTTGGGTGTTGGCGAAAACGGGGGCTCTTTGATCTCCCCACACGATGGCTTTTTATGCAATCCGACAACCGCCAACAGCCGAAGCGCATTTTCGCCCTGATTTCGCCCTTGTTTTCCCTCGGTTGCCGGTAACCAATGGCTGTCGCTTATTTCACGTTGCCAGAGCGCAACTTCCGAGAATGGAGTGATCGGGAAACATAACAACACGTACACAAAGCGCACTGCCTTGCGGCCAATATCCGAGAAAGTTGGTCTCTATACCAGGATATGTTGGGCAGTCGTGGTGAAGTCGAGCAATACTTTCCTTGATGCGTACATCAAACACTCTAATACGCGGTTACATGTTGAGGAAGAAATGTCAATTCAGGAAGTAATTTCGCCTTGGGGAAATGCAAGGATACCTTATGATCGCCGCGACGGCGACAACAATTCGCAGCTCGGAAGGAAATTTCGTCGACAACGTAAAATTCTCTCACAACCAAGTACTTAGCGGTCGAGAGAAACGTAGAGAAACTGAGTTGAGTCATCCTTGGAACACGCGCACGAATCCAGGACAAAGTTGATGGAGCGCGAAATCCTCGTTTCTTTCTTCTTGGTACATAAACTCCGTCCTGATATGACGTCACGGCACGAGCCCGGCTTTGCCGACGGGTAGAGTTCGCCTCGATGGTTGAAACAACAGGCTACACAAGGAAAAGCATAATCTATTAATTCTGTATCCTAAATCACGAGGCTTGAGGAGGTATGACCATAACGTAGCTGCTTGTCAACTACTTAGGTCATACATACATCTACGTATACAATTGTGTGCGATCAATTATGAGAGGAGGTGGGATAGAACAGCACGCTTCGACATTCCCATGCACTTCGACAGTTACTTTGTTCAGAGCAGGGAGGATACTCCGCAACTCTGGCAGCGAAAATCAGCAACGGAACAAACAAGAAAGAAGCAGAAAGAGACATACGTCCCAAACAGACGACTGGCCCGCTCAGCAAAGGATAGACCACTTCCGTGATATACCTGAATGACTCGTCAGAACTCCACGCTGCTCTGCGTCTACGATCCCTCACTGAAATGCAAATGGCCTTCAAAGACCTGAAAGGAGGCAGGAATTCCTCATACGGGAGGGCGGCCCGCGGGCGTCCAAAGGGTGAGGTATTCGGTTCTCGCGATGGCTTTGTCCAGCACAGTCGCGAGCGACAATGCTAGTTGTCGTTGTCGAACGTTTCTCCGCTCCTTCGTGAGCGAAATACGGAACCACAGGCCCGGCCACGGTGCCGGTCCAACCTGGTTGTGCATGATGTTATGGCTTGGGTCGAGATGACATGCGTGCAACGACCGACTCCTATAGCTCTCGTCTGCCCAGCGTCCAAACCAGGCTACCAGGCCTCCACCGTGGAACGATCTTGATGTATCCTTGAAAACACCTGCGAAATAGAGATTACATCCACGCGGGGTCTCGATATAGGAGAGGAATGTATCGATGCCGTCTGGGGATCCTACAAGCCCTGCAAGGCCCAGTGTCGCGAGATTGGGGAGAAGAGCGGGTGCTGGGTCATGTGTGGATGAAGTATCTGGACTAATCGTGCCCTTGATGGTGAGGTCGGTGAGATGAGGCATGGCGCGCAAGAGGTTCAGCCATTGGGTAACGGTAGGCGGATTGTCGTTAGCGTCGACCACGGAAAGTTCGCGGAGATCGCGAAAGATGGAAAGCTTGTGGAAATTTGGATTCACATCGACGAGCGTCAACACGTGGAGGCACGAGGGATTTCTGTCGAGCAGGTCCCAGTCGTCGAGGAAGGGTGGTGGTGCGTGACTCCGACCGAACCGGCGTACGACGTTCTTCAAAGAGAGAACTTGTAGTCTTGGAAATGGGCCTCGCAAGCGTTCTGCTATGGATTCAAGATCATATGTAGCACAATAATAGTCTTCGAAACTGAGCTCGATGGTCCTGACGCGCATTGGCGCAAATCTCCTGAGTAATTCGATGTCAGCAAGGAGACGATCCAGGGTGTTCCGGGTGACTACAGCCACGAAATCGATCTGCGCTCTTCCGGCAAGTTCGAGCCTCTTTTTGAGCCATACGGCTGGACAAGTGGTCCAATTGATGTTGGCGCCCCAGAGCGCGCCACAATGAAGCACAAGCTCTCGCCATAATCGACACACGTGCGACGCGGCTATTAACGCGTCTCGTCTTCGTCCATAGAGCACATATTCCTCGTCCCTGGGAAAAAGAAAATCCTGAGGAGGACGTCAGGGGGTATGGTGGATATGTAGCATGGGTCCTGTAACACGATGGGGTCAGTAACCAGGTCAAAGCATCACGACGGGCCCCACCTTCAGTGTGTCGTACGCTTTACTAAGGATGGCCGTTAGAGAGCGGACCAACGCGTCAACTACATCTTCAAGCATCTTGGGGGAGGATGGTCGTGGTGAAGGAAGAGAGACGTTCATCGATCCTACCTGATCCCCCCTATAAATATATCGACTTTCGAGATAGGCGCCCAGTGCTGCGGCTTCGCAGGCGAGTCAGCAGGTCAGATGCATGAAGAACATTCCAGATAGATGTCGTCCGCAGCATGCTACTTAAACCAGAGCGTTTTATCCAACACGCACGATTTTTCATCCGAAGTCAGGATACTTCCGAGTAGGCCTCAGTTTGCCCTTCGTGGGTGACAATAAATTTAGCCAGCAGAGGTAATGTAGCTCTGAGCTCTAAAACTAACTCTTGGTAACCAGAAGAGACAAGTGAAGAACAGGAGAACGCACCAGGTAAGCTCTGAATAAATTCCTGTCGCGATTTCCACCCCTCAAAGTCAGCCGTAGTCTCTTCGCCAACGTGAAGCGCGAGACAAATGTATCCCACATCATTAAATTCTCTTCCATTGCAATACTCTTCTCCAACGTAGCACCACAAGTGAGTCGCAATTCTGCGTCACAGGCGGCCACCGGGGTAAGGCGAGCGCAGGGCTCTTGGGCCAGTGATGCTCGACTCTCGATATACGAGATACTTGAGGTACGCCACCACCTTTATCCGCGTATTAAGTCCGCTTCAGAACCTCCTTTAGCCATTGAGTACCGAGCGCGCTCAAAACGAGACCTGCGTTCAACGGCGCACCTGAACTAAGTACGATTTCTCTCCAGAACCTGCCCACTTGCGAGAAAGTTCTGATTGCATCGAATTGTCGTCTGTTAGTGTAGATGCCCCTCACTGAGTCCTCAGATCTGCCTCTGCGAGTAAAAGTAAGATATTAAGGAAGATATTGGGTGGTAGCGCCGCGATAGCGTTGACGAAACCCGCGCACGAGTTCATGCTCGTTTCCTGGGGTGTCCGTGCAGCATGATTTGGTGAGATGGCATAAAACATGGAGAAGGAGGAAAAACTTACCACCATTTCGTAGTGAAAAGGCCAATCCTTAGGCGGGACGTGATAGTAACGTCTTGAAGTGTTTTGAATTTATGCACCACCGATGATCTGGCATAGCCCCTATTGAGTCCGGGCCGGAGACTCTGGTCCTCGAAGATTGAACTCGTCTACAACCATCGCACTTGCCCGGGTGCCCCGTACGACAAAAGTGTTGACCAACTGCATTTTGTACTACAATTGGGCGCTTATCATCTTGTCTGTCTATCTAAGATCAGTCAAACTGAATTGTTGAAATCCAACAGGAGTCTCTGTCGCATGATTTTATTAAGGCACCTTCCTCATACCAATCGCTTCCATTATTTTAGTACGCCGCCTTGCCGTTTGCATCAGCTCACCATTGGGATAATAACCGGCATAGTATTCAGCCACCGTCTCATTCGTTAGGCCATTGACAGCAGCGCGTGAAGTGAGGGGTGGGAGGTGATGCTGCCAGTTGCATAAGAACACGATATGCAGGTGGGCATGAGGTACTCACATCCTCACCAGTAGGATCAGTGCCGTCACTGAACGGGACAATTTCGAATCTTTCACCAACTCCAAATCCTCGCGTCTCATTGTGTAGCTGAAGTGGAGTTGTAAAACAATGTAGACGAAAGAAAGGTATATGCAAAACGTACAACTGCAGCCACCCTAGAGATGTGGCTGACCTTGACAGCCAAGTCATCTATTTTGGTGCTGATATCCTCTCGAAGCTCATCTATTTTGGCGCTGATATCCTCTCGAAGCTCATCTACTGCAGCCGTAAACCAAGCTGGAGCGTGCTCTTGTCGCTCGGCTGAGAAGTGTCAAGATGTCTGCCACCAGGATGCATCCAGGAAAGCTTACCAGCAAACAGAGCCATCTGCGTAGTATACTTCGATCCATCAACAAGATCTTTAGCAGTCAGCTGCTTTCGATCTGAAGGGTATCAGGTAACGGTCGAGAGGTGGGAACAGGACACACACTATAATGGACCACCAAGTCATGCTGTAACAGAATAGACCGCACATGGTCTTCATCTGCGGGCGGGTCTTCAGGCTGTGCGATGACGCCTATCGCGGTTTGTGCATTAGCGCTGAAGGCGGGAACAACGATCTGTGGCATGAAGATTGGGCAGATGAAAATGCCCAATGATCCCAACGTTAGGCTCAAATACGGCTGAGTTTGAAAATTCCGACGCGGCGATTCCGACCGACCCTAAACTCCCAGGTCACGTTCCGGTTACGAGTCCTACTTTAGTAGGAAACTCGTTTTCTATACCCAGGATCCGGTCACAGAAATTCGCTCGTGGGATTGTAGCGATCTACCCACGGTCGCTGATTGGCCTTCTTGGTCACGTCACAGTCGGTCCGGCATGAATTGGATAAGATAAGATTGTTTCACCGTGCTATTGTTCTGCTACCTCGCCTTGCCTTCGCTGTTACCACACCGCTTTCTTATGCTTCCTCAAGCCGACGTGATGCCTACGTCCGTTTATCCGCCCCCGGCCAGCCAGCGCAGAGGCCCGACAATCCAAAGGATCCTAGAAAGTGGTACCCGGGGCTGAATGTTACTCCTTCTGGGAGGATGCTGGACAGTATACTACGTTTCTCAGTGCGTATCTCGTCTCAAATTGTGGTCCGGAAGGGGGAGAATGACAACTTCAACGAACCCTCGAGCAGGTTCCCGATACCGGTCGGTGACTCGGTGGCGATTCATTAACCTCTCTACCAACACAGAAGCTCAAGTAAGCCTTAGTTTCGTGATCTCGACGTTGTTATTGACCCAATACAGATAGGCGATATCCTTTGCCAAAGCCTTCTTTCCGAGCTCAAACCCGTGACCCTCCCGGCCAACCACCTGCTTTCAAGACATGAACGAGAGACTTGGTGGAGGTAAGTCTCTCGCATCCTCTTCTTGTGTCGCAGGATTCTAAGGATGGATTGGACAGCGAGAGGCGCAAAACATGACTAGTAGGAAGGGACAAGCAGCCCACGCCGAGTTGGATGCCTCGACACATGTCAATTCTTCGACATAAATTGCTCGAAGCTGTACCCCGTCAGTCTGCCTCTGTCCGACACCCCAAGGCCTTAGTAGTGGTAATAAATATGTGGTAGGTTGTCTTCTTCGCCCGCTGTGATTCTTACTAACCTCCCCGTGGAATTGGCAGAGCCACCGCCCTCAAAGTAGAATACCACCGACACAAGCACCGTACGTATTACGGCCCGCGTTACAGCCCCCTCTCGTGCTTCGTGGTGTACATGTACTAATGCTACGGAGTAGGGCATGTCACGGGTGGTTTGACTACCGGTAAGTGCCCTTTCTCCATCATCTAGTGGGGTTCTGACGGTAAGTTCAGTGCTTCCAGACGGCGAGGACGAGAGGCGAGAGCCCTAGGAGGGAGGAGACGAGCAGCAAATGAACTGGACAACCCGAGACGCATTGATTCTTCGCGTATGAGACCGGTGATGTTTTTTCTCCCTGCCATAAGAATAGAACTGAGGGGCAACTGCCATGATGTTACTAGAAGGGCCGCGAGGAGCGACCGAAGGTCGGCGACGAGCGGCCCCAAAAGATTTTCTACCAAATGCTACAGTGCAGTGTTGCAGTCGGATAAAATTTCGCAGACTCAGTCAAGCGGGAAGAGTGAAGAATACCGACGTTCATACCAGGTGTAAGGGCTGCTTAAAAGCGTACAAAAGGTGGTGGGCGCTGACGTACTTTTAAGAATTTGAACAAGCGTGCTCACGGGGGTTCTGGTACCGGTGCCTACTCCCACTGCCCAGCGGTTTGACTCGGGCGAGTACGAATGGAAATATACCTCGACAAAAATTAAAAATATTGCAGGTTCTCAAATGAATGAGCCCGCTACATGAACTAGGAGCAATACTTACCAATGAAGATAGGCATTTCACGGTTTCCCGGCATTTCACGGTTTTGAGTCAAGTTATGGGTGAGAATTGCGGCCGAGACCTGGACAAAAAAGGACTCGTATTGCCACGCCGCACGATGGCCCACACCGCACAAGTCAACAATGGCGCGCGCCGTCTCAGGTCCAGGACGCGTCGCTCAATGTTCGATGCCAGCTTTAATGCCTCCCTCCACCACTATTTGGTGGGCTAGTGTATAAGCCCTTATAATAACTGCAAAGTACTGATCAATGATTCACTGCTATTGTAGTTCATGTATTTTATACATTGCTCCCGCCTCTCTGCGCCCTCTCTGCGCCCTCTCAGGCCGAGCCAAGCACGAGCCTTGACCACGGCTTGGAAGGGCCTGCGACTCAGGCTTCAAATTTTCAAAACCCAAGCCCAGGGGCTGAGCCGCGGTCTGATTGAAACAGTATCATGATGCCTGTTTTCTCAATACGATCGGACTATTAACTTGACTTCCGTGACACTTTTAATTTTGTTTGGACATAAGGGCCTTGTGGTCTTTTTCAGAGTCAACTTGTCCAATGAGATGATGATTGACAATCAGTGTTGAGTGTTGTGTAAAACAGTCAATTTGTACATTTCCGGCATCGTCTTGACCATTGTGCACATATATATTGATGTCCTACAGTACAGGAGATGACAATATACGAGAATTAAGAACTATAACTGACGTGGCGAAACTTTGTGTGTGCAGCGAGCCTTCCCTCGCTGAATAGTGGATCCTTGATTTTCAGCGTTGAGCTTGGCGGTGGGGTCGAAGCCTTGTTTGGCAACTGTTATCATTAGACCCTGTCAATAATTCTCTGACTTCATCCGATGTGAATCTACAAGAGAACGGTGCATGCTAATCTGTTTTTTGGATACATGTCTCAATTCCACGAATCTAATTCTATTTATACCTCAATAATAAGCAAACGGAGAGGTGCTGAGGTGTATGAGCAATCCCGAGTTGTCCGGGGCCATTGCCGAGTGACAAGCTCCCTGGTTTGATGCCAAAAAGGCACCCACCTTCGAAAAATATTCGTAGAGCATGAACGAGGTCACTTAAAATTTAGAAACTTGGTCACATAAGGTTGAGATGATTATCTTTCGAATTGTATTCGTATTTTGGTCATTCCTTGTTTCAACCTACACCATTACCGTCTCGATAGTACGGAATACTCATTACTAGTAGAGTACCGAATTGCTGCAGCTATATCCTAAAGTACACCATCCTACAGTAGTGTGTATATAGTCCAATTAATCTCCTCATCCATAGATCCCACCCTCGATAGCGCGATAGCATGATAGCAGTAACATCAGAGCAAATAATCAATATACGACCTTAAGATCGCCAACGACGCCCTTTTCCTCCAAGAACCTAAAATCAAGGTCCTCGTCGAACTCCTCGATCTCCGCATCGGACGGCTCGTCCAAGTCTGCGTGAGCCTTCAGCCGCAGCTCGATGTTTAACGCGTTCAGCCACGGATAACTGTCATGCTGCTTCAGCGTCTCCGACTTGAATTTCGCCCAACCCGTTCGCCGTGACGTAAAGAAGCTGGTGAGGTCCTTGTAGTCGTAGAAGGTTTCGATTGTGATATGGAGGTCCTTTATGTAGGAGACGCCGTCGAGAGGAGAAACGTTTAGAATATTGAAGGAGTTGTTCCTGCTGAGCGGTACGGTTGGGTTGGTGATGATGATTTTCAGGCTGAAGGTCCTGAGGCTGTCTTTAAGCCACACGAGATCAATCACCTCATTTAAAGCGCCGCCGGCGGAGGCCCCATCGCGCACCAAGTCTATCCTAGAAGAAAAGACGTTAACGCAGTACAAGACCAGAAAAGTTAGACGTACACTTCAAACTCCTCCAACATATGGGCGTTGCCCAAAACTGCCAATTTGGTCCACATATCCGCCGCCCCGTTTCTGCTCTGCACCATCCATGAGACGCTCCTCAAATTGACCGATGGCCTTGACTCCATATACGGGATAGTCTCAGAGAACTTTATCGCCCTGTTAGACAAGGCTTCCACAACACGCAGCGTCTCGAGCCCGCAGAACGTCTCCGCGTTCGGCGTGTATAGCGCCTGACTGCGGCAAGGCAAGAACGAGCATCGCTCGAGCGTAAGGTGCTTGAGATTCTGGCACTGAGAGCCGAAGAAATTGCCTTGGATCTCCCTCATATCTTCCAGGATGAGGTGCTGGAACCCGTCAACGCGGCAAGCCTTCTTCAACCCGACGGCCACATTCATGTAATCCGCGACAAGACGTGAGAAGGATAGTGCCACTCTTGGGTCGGTGGGCTCGTAGCTGAGGTGGATGGAGGTTATGTTCGACGACATCCTCTTAAACACACAGTCGAGAATTCCAGCGGTGGCTTGCTGAAGACCGACCTCCTGCACAAGGATGACATGGAGTTTTCGTATTTCGTTCAGCATCGCTCTTTGGTGGGAGGCGATGAACCAGAGCCTCTTGTTAATCGTGACCTCCATATCGACCACCCTCAGGTGATAGAACATGACCCTCGTCGCGCGATCGCGGAAGGCTCTTGCGACCGTCCTACAATTATTGATCATCCGCATGGACAGCCTAGGATCGGGTTCGGCCGCAACTTCCTCGAGGATGTTTTGGAGAATTTCCGGGGTCAGAAACGTAGCGCTGACAGCGTTTGAGGGCCCGCGGTTGGTTTTCGCGGACATGGTGGTGGAGGTACGCTGATGAGTAGCGAGCGTGGGGAGATCGCTTCAGCTCAGATTACTTGTGGCAGTTTGCGTGAGAGACTGTTGGTCAGCTAGTAACCATGGCCGAAAAGGGATGGCAATGTGTGGCACAGTGGCAACGGCGTCCTGATTGGCTGATCAATTCTGTGGCCTCCCTTCGCCAGAGACCTTCGAGAATTAGATGCCTAGTATCGACTATTGAAATTTCACTCAGACACGGATCCAACATAGATCTAAGAAATTGCTTTGAATAATATATTTGGTTGGAAGTTGATTTTTGCTGTGGGCAATCCGCAGTTTGCTACTAGCGGTATGCAGGAGCTGAGGTTGCGTCTGCTAACATGACCGGCCACTCGTAATTCAGGTGATAACGGACGCATTCAACTCAGGGGAGTTAGAGGAGAGGATATTTCTGCAGTATTGCTGATGGCTTATGAGGTATACGTCTCTCTTTTGGGTTTAAATTTGTGCAGCTACTTGTGACAATCAAAATTCTTCGGAGGAAGGGTCGCAGTCGCAGAACATGATGCGCCGAACCTCCGAGAATCTATACCATTGCCATGCCTTTTCTAGCGGGCCGGGGTTTTGGCGACCTTGTTCAACGAAAGGCCTGGGTGGCTTCGCAGGCGGGTGTAAGCGCGAGGAACGATGGAAAGAGAAGACAGGATATGTTGTAAGGATTTGGTACGTCGACGAGCAAATGAAAAATCGGGAACTGTTTATGCATGAATGACAGAGGGGCAAGAAACACGCTCGACAATGTTCCCGTCCTGGGTGACCGTCATTTCTTGTAGATCAGGTAGCGCGCGTCGTAATTCTGTTAGAGAAGAAACCATTAAGTCGAAAAACTTTTAAGTATGAGGAGAAGCACGCACCGGACCAGCGTATGGCATTTTGAACCATGAAAGGTCCCAAAACCTCGGAGAGATACCTAGGCGAATGCGGGCGATGTGCTATGCCCTTCGCCGTGATGTGGAGCGTCTGAAGGGACCTGAAAAGAGGAAGGAAGTCCTGATACGGGTAAGCGACGTCCGGGTAGGAACTTGTTGGGGGCCAGAGGGTCAGACGCTCCGTCCGTGAGATCGCTGGAGTCAGCGCAGACACGAGCGACGCCGCGGCCGGGCGAATGAGCCGAATGGAACGTGAATCATTAGGAGACGTGTTGAGGTGATTCTCCAAAGAGATGCGAAACCACAGCCCAGGCCGCGGTTCCGGCCCAGACTGGTTGTGCATGATGAGGCGCCGCATGTCAAGGCAAGCGTGGAACGTGCGGCCCTTGTAATCTTCGTCCTTCCAGCGTCCGAACCAGGCCACGACGCCGGCGTCGTTGAAAGTTGCGGTCATCTTCTCTAAGCGACCCGCGAAGTAGAGGTTGCATCCTTGCGGTGTGTCGATGTAGGAAAGGAGAGCGTCGATCCCGTCGTGCCCTCCCACTTTCCCCGCGAGACTGAGGACGTTGAGATTGTGGAGTGATACGCGTTGTCCAACGTCGGTGGCCGGCGCGCTGGGGCTGATGGAACCCTTGATAGTGAGATCGACGAGGTGAGGCATCACGCGGAGGAGGTTGAGCCAATGCCCAAGAGTGGGAGGTTGGTGTTTGATGTCGATGACGGACAGTTCGCGGAGGTTATGGAAGGTAGGAAGGTGGTTGAAATCCAAGCTGAACACCTTGAGTCGGAGAACGCGCAACCATTTAGGGTGTGTCTCCAGAAAGGAGAAACCGTCGAGGCGAGCAGTGCTGTCTGCGATGTAGGAGCCGCTCTGGACCGTCAGAGATAGGGTTCGGAGGAATGGGAAGGGGCCAGATAATTCTTGGTTCATCATTGTTTTAGCGCGCGCATACCAGTGCGGGTAGCTGTGGATAGACAGCTGGATAGATCTTATGCGTTTGGGAGCTACATCCTTGAGGTTCGGAACACGGCGACCTTGTTGGCTGGAGGCGTACATAGGGTACCTTCTGCTCGTAGTGCATGCGAAGTCGATATCCGCGTCTCCCGTGCGCTTGAGAATTTCCTGCCACCACGTCAAGGGGTACTCGACGTCCCAATTGATGTTTGCACCCCATAGTGCGCCTGAACTGAGCACAACTTCCCTCCACAATCGACACACGTGGGAGGCAGCGACGATGCCATCTAGAGACACGATGTCCTCTTTGCTCTTTTCACCAAGTAGGAAGAAGATCTTGAGCAGAATTTCAGAAGGAATGGTGGATATGGGGGATGATAAATCTGAGGTCACTGCACTGTCTGTGATGCTTGCATGCGACGGATCTTATTCCGATTCGTGATGATCGCGTGGAGCAACCAAGGATTTTCCCTCTGGTGACCCACTAACAACAAAATGGTCTGCCATGTTCGGCGGATCCTTCGACAAGATCATGTCAGGCGACGAAAGAAGAAACGGAAGAATATAGTTGAATCGCACCATTTTTGCAACAAAGGTGCTAGCGACGAGATGAAGCACGAGGATGAGGCACAGGGCTACGGCGAGAGCCATTGGAGAAGCCTCCCATAAGACAACCGTGACGAAGCTGGATGCCATGAATCGAGGAGGTTGTGGTTAAGAAGGAAAAGAGACCACTTCGATCTCGGTTGATATACTCCATGATTCACGAGATAAGCGCCGAACGACTGCGCAAGTGGGCCACGGGAGATTGCGGGGTCCTGGGGGAAAATACCGCAGCAAGCAAACCCCCTGGTACGCAGACAGCCTAAGATTAGGTCCAATCGAAAGCTTGCATAGGAGTATGAAGAAACAAAAGCAAAAGTTAATGGCCAACGTGGGGATCGAACCCAAGACCTTCGCGTTATTAGCACGACGCTCTAACCAGCTGAGCTAGTCGGCCATGTGTAAAATGTCTAAGATTACAATATCGATTGTGCTGGCAAGGTGGCATTAGGGAACCCCGACTATTGCCCGGTCATATCACGCCTCCCCGTGACCTCTTAATAATGATCTTCCCGCCAATGTCGGGTCGTCTGTCTCAACAATGGCTCTCACCACATCCCTATGCACTGGACACCCGGAAGACAGCTTCCCCAGCAACTTTACGTTCTAATTCAGGCGCACGCAGGCCCTAATCCGTGCCATGGACCATTGATGAAGCTGAATAGAGCTCGCTCTGCAGGATATGCCACGGTCGTACCAGATCCTAGTATTGCACCGGAAGATATTGGCAAAGACAAGATACCACCGCTGAAGAACCCATATCCGTATCCTAACCACAGGAACCCGTCCCCGCACCAGATCTTTCACCTGCCGTTTGGTGCTACTCCAGCCCAGATTAAATCGCGGTGTATGTAGAGTATTTTTACTATCCTTCTTGATATGCCTAACGTTATTTCCCCAGATTATGAGCTGGTCCGAACGCACCACCCGGACTCGGCCTACGTCGCCCACCTTCCAAGCGCACTTGCCCATGCGAGGTTCAGGTCGGTCAAGGCGGCGTACGACTTCCTGCGGGGCAAGACCCTTTCACCTCACCCAAATGCCCGCCCTGCCCCGACGCCGAAGAATTTCGACCCGTACATGCACGAGCTCGCACGGAGGAGACGGGCACACTACGCTTCGCAGGGAGCACCGAGCACGGTGGAGGATGATAGCCTCAGTGGAGCCTGGGCACGGCCTGGGTGGGCGGAAGGATTCGGCGCACCGAAGGCCCAGAGGAGTGAGTGGAACGAAGACGGCATGCGGGAGAGGATCATCCTGGCGTTCGGTGTCATGGTGCGGACTCTCTTCTCCTAAGTACTCTACTCTTTCGTCGCTCAACCGCCTTGCAGGCCCTCGTCGTTGGGCTGTTCCCGACGATTCCCTCAACATTTATCTCCGCCTTTATCTCGTCTGGGCCGGCTGCTCCAGGGCAGTCTGTCGTGTCGCGAAAGGAGCTGGCGTCGTACGTGGCGAAACCCGACCCGGGCCCTTCCTTCCCTTACAACCTCCCATTCGTGCCCGACCTCGACAAGGGACACCGGAGCGCCGCGTCCGCGCTCGCTCAGTGTCGGTATGAACGTCAGGAAATGGGAGCTGAGCGGCGCGACAATGTGCGTAAGCGGGCTAAGAAGATAACTGGAGAGGTCGACGACGACTCGCAGGGCCCGTCTGATTCTGAATAGGCATGATACGCACGCGTACTTCGTCTATATGTGATGTATCTTTTTATTTCTGGCTTTGTACAGTCCAGCAGTGGCGACCCATTATCCAATTGATGAAGTGGTCACCACGGGGAGGATTTTGATCCTATTAATATTCAAGACCTGCTGTGCGGGCGATTAAAGGAACGACCGATGGACTGGAAAAATTAGAATGAGGGTTTAAGTTTCCTGCCTGACGTACTCCTACCGGTATATTGGTCATGGTCTGCGTGAACGCTTTGTGCGACCTGTACCGTAGTCGACCTGTATTGACAGGAGACCGGAGAGACCGGCCCGCGCGTGGAATTGATGTCACGGTTGTGTGCAAACACAACTTGGACGTTACCACCACGTTTTCTTCAACAATTGGCCTATTCATAACGGGATGGCGGTGAATTTTCCCTTCTTCTCTCATCCCGTATACAGTGTTACGAACAGACACCCCAGGAGACGATATACCACGACGTTGGAGCTGGTGGTGGACACATTTCTTCTCCGCGGCCCGGAGCCCTATCGCGACACTACCACCCGAGATCCTCCAAGATCTTCTTCTTTCTCTGCGAGAAAGACCTGAAGGCGATCTCTATGACAGGACGATACTTTGATACAGTCAAGACCGTCTCACACGTCTGCAGATTCTAGAGAGAAATCTCACCCAGTTCAGGCTCGCTCTGGAACGTCGCGGGTCTTCCTTGGACCAACTTCTCCCGCCGATGGCTCAAGGAAGCCCTCAAACGTACTGAAGGTGCAGGTGTAGACGTTGCAGCATATTTTTCATATCGGTCAGTGCTATATCCGACGCCCAACGGCCTGAATGAGGTCGACAATGTCGACAAAGAACGAATCTGGTTGATCGCCCTCACTATCGGGTTCAGCAAGCCGTTGCTTGAAGACTACCTGGACTTTATCGAGCGGCTCCGTGGACCGTCCCCACTCCTGCGATCGCTGACTTTGAGAGCAGAGCGCCTCCCGGCCGCATATCGGCAGGTCGTACCTTCAACCAACTGGGGCATCCTCGAAGACAAACCCCCACGACTTCGCGTCCTGAAGCTCGCATGCATCACGCCTGATTTCCACAACATCGCCATCTTTCGCAACCTGTGCGAGTTGGCCGTCGTCGACCTCGAGCATGACCTGCCTCACATCGCAAAGTGATGAACTGCAGCTCCTGCAAGTCATGCCCCATTTCACCGAACTCACCATCAAGGGATCCATTGGTCCCAGCATGAATCCCACAGAACGTCGTGTGCCAGTTCTGCTTCCCAACCTCAAGACTCGGCCTCGGCGGCAGCCTAGGACCAGATGACGGAATCAACGTCTCCCCCTCCTTCCTCTCAACCCTAGCCAGCTGCAATCTCTACTTTTCAGGTCGTTTTTCCGGCTCCAACCCCATTAATGACGCCGGGCTGGTAGCGTGGTTCCGCCGATGGACGGATAAAGACTACCTGAGCACGTCCTTTCATGCATGCCTCGACGCCCGCAGGATTACCATGCACAACCAGTCGGGCCCGCCGCCCTGGCGCGGGTCGTGGTTCCGCATCTCGTTCGAACACCGGCCTCCGCGCCTTGCAACCCTCCGTCGTCGAGCGCTACTCATGATGTATATTTTTGGCTTGCTTATGGAGTTGTTGGAGAAGAGCATTGTGCGGACGGAAGACCTGACAATCTGGGCTGGTGGGCATGTGTGCGCGTTGCCCTATGACGCATTTGTTCCTCACTTCAAGTCCGCGAAGAGGTTGCGTCTGGCCGTAAGGGGTGGGGATCGGGACCGCGTCGTTGCGGAGCTTATGCAGAGCTTATTTGGTGCGCTCTCCTTCACTTCTTTACCCATCTCTCCTGATTTCCAAGGGTTGGTTTAGAATTCGGTTCTACATTGCCTCTACTGACAGACATTTTTGTCACCCGATGAAGCGCAAATTTATGTCCTCTCGCGAGTACACCGACTTTGCTCAGGAATTCATGCATGTTGGATCCATCGTATATCTGATCTGAATGTCTAACACCAGCTTTTCAGATTGTCGATTCACTTCCACGATACATTCTTCTTGAGCATCGTCTGGATTGACACACACCCCTTCGTATGCTGAATTACCTGATATAAGGGCGCGTTCACTTTCACAACGCCCATCCACACCTACCAACTCTCTGCTTCTGGTAGCTTCTGGTATAAGAAGCGTGATGCAGACGGCATCTCTCTGGAATGTTCTTCAGTATTCACACATCTGACCTGCCGACGCGGCTGGGAAGCCGCAGCGCTGAGCGCCTATCTCAAAACACGATATACTTATAGGAGAAATCAAGTGAGATAAAAGCAAGGCTCTCTTCCTTCTCCACCACCACCATCCGTCAAATGCCTTACGACCTCGTCGCCGCGTTGGTCCACTCTCTGACAGACATCCTTGGACCGCGCGACACGCCGAAGGTAAGGTCCATCGTTATGCTTGACATCGTCGCTGATCCAATCTTGCTGCAGGGCCCATGTTACATATCCAGCATCCCCCCTGAAATCCTGCTCAAGATCTTCTTCTTGCTCGAAGGCGAGAAACGGGCAGCCTTCGGAAGACAACGAGATATGCTGACCACCGCGTCGCACGTATGTCGGCTGTGGCGTGAGCTCATGCTCATTTGCGGGGCGCTTTGGGGTTCCAATATTAATTGGACCGAGTCTCATCGCTCGGTAGCGCGGCTCAAGAAGAGGATCAGGCGCGCCGGCGGAGCGCAACTTGATGTTGCCGCTGTGATCAACCTGTCGACCTGGGGGCCACTTCGGGCTAACCTCAAATTACTCGCTGACGTTTCACCGGAGCGTATCAGGACCGTTGATCTCGCTTTCGAGTACGGTAGAGTCCCCGCAGAAGAAATTGCAAGTCGATTGCAAGGCCCATTCCCAAGATTACAGGTCCTATCTTTGCAGAATGGTAGCCGTGGATCCCTTAACCTTTGGCCACAACATTTGCGTTGCGTCGACGGCTGGCACCTCCTCGACGGAAATCCCTCATACCTCCAGGTGTTGACACTCGACCGCGTGAGCCCAAATTTCCACAATCTGTCCATCTTCCGCAACCTCCACGAACTTTCCGTGGTCGACGCCAATCTCAACTCGCCTACCCTTGCTCAATGGCTGAACGTCTTGCGCGCCATGCCCTATCTCACTACCCTCACCATCAAGGGCTCGATTACCCCCGACACCTCCTCTACACATAACCCAGCACCAGTCCTCCTAACCAATCTTGCAACGCTGGGCCTTGCCGGGCTTGTAGGATCCCCGGACGGCATCGACGCTCTCCTCTCACACATCCAGACTCCGCGCGGATGTAATCTCTATTTTGCAGGTACTTTCAACCATGATTCAATTGCCCTCGACGACGCGGGCCTAGTAGCCTGGTTTGGCCGCTGGACGGATCACAACTACAAGAGTCGGTCATTGCACGCATCCCTCGACCCGAACCGTATCATCATGCACAACCAGGTGGGACCGGCACCGTGGTCGGGCCTATGGTTCCGTATTTCCCTCACGAAGGAGCGCAGAAACGTTCGACAACTGGCGTTGTCGCTCGCGACTGTGCTGGACAAAGCCATCGCTAGAACTGAGCACCTCACCCTTTGGACCCCCGCGAACCGCTCCCGCAGGGTCGCCCTCCCGTATGAGGAATTCCTGCCTCATTTCAGGTCTTTGAAGACCATTTGCATTTCAGTGAGGAATTGTAGCCGCCGAGCGGCGTGGAGTTTCGACGAGTCATTCGTGCATGTCACGGAAGTGGTGTATCCTTTGCTAAGCGCGCCTTTTATCTCCCTGGGACGTACGTTTTTCGCTTCGCTTCTGTCTCTTTCATTGGTCTGATTTTACCCCGTCAGAGTTGCGAAGTGTCCTTCCCGCTCTGAATAAAATAACAGTCGAAAAGGATGGAGAGGTTAAAGCGTGCTGCTCTATCCCACCTGCCCCTCGCGCTCAGAATTGACTGCCTTCATTCAGTCTTGCGCAGGATTGCAGAAATTATCACCTCGTTTACCGGAGTCCTACCTCCCCTCATGATTTAAGACTAGTACTCGAAAATGTTAAATTATGTTTCTGCCTGTGTGGCTATGCCGTCATTGACAATGCGGCCCGGATAATTCCAAGTTCTTGCCTCTTACACTCATCATCCCGACTGCGCACAGCTGGTTGTCGATCTAGGGGTTTATCTAGCAACTCGGAGACTCAAGTTGTTGAAGTTTACCCTCAAGTTAGACCGCATCCGCTCTGGAGAAGACACCCATTGGCGGGTGCTTACTGTATACTAACACCATCGATAGGCGACCAGAGAAGCTCTGGATCTTCGCGACCTTGACATTGCTGAGGTGTTGTCTATGTCTATCATTCGGATTGTAGTACCAGCTAAACGGAAAACCTTCAGGGTACTCAGATTTCGTTTCGATGAGCGACAATATCGCGATTTGTCCCTCCCTGGAACGGGCTCTGGGGACCGTGTCATCTCCCGTTTCCATGATACCTACAGACGTCCTGCTGTCAATCTTCTTCCTCCTGACGGACCAAAACAATACTTCCACAAAGAAAAACCCCAATATTCTAGTCACGATATCGCATGTCTGCCAGTTGTGGCGGAAGGTGGCGTTATCATCTGGTACGCTCTGGGCCTCCAGCATTGACTGGACCACATCACGACCAATCGCCTGGCTGAAACAAGTAGTCGAGCGTACTGGAGACGCGAAGCTGGACTTCTCAGCCAAAACCAACCTGGACACGAGAGTAAGGCTGCCCGGCAACGCCAAAGTGCTTGCTAGCGTCGCAAGTAAACGCATTCGATCTATAGACCTTGCGTTCGAAGGCTATATAGGAATGCCGCCACCTTTTCGAGAAATTTGGAGAGAGCTCCGGGGACCATTCCCAGAGTTGCAGGTTCTGTCTCTGAAAACGGATAGCATTGGAATGGGTCGACAAGAATTAAGTCGCGTAGACGAGTGGCGCCTGCTCGAGGAGCACCCGAAACACCTGCGCGTATTGCGGCTCATCCTCTTTCGTCCCAACTTCGACAATCTTTCGATGTTCAAGAATTTGCACGAGTTATCGGTTTCGCATGTCACGGTTGACCCACCGCATATCGCAAAGTGGCTAGATGTTCTCCGCGTCATGCCACAGCTAATCGAGCTGACGATCGTCAAATCCTTGGGCAGAGGTATTCATCCCGACATCCCTCGAACCCCCGTCTTCTTACCGGATCTCAAGAAACTGGTGCTAGATGGGGAGGCTGGATCCGGAGATGGCGTTGACTCATTCCTCCCGTACATCAGCACACGAGCGGGGTGCAGCCTCTTCTTCACAGCCCGTTCTCCTCGAGGGCGAGTGCCATTCAATAGCGATGAATCCTGCCTGGCTGAATGGTTCAGACGCTGGACGAACGAAGATTATCAAAGTAAATCACTTTTTGCATTTTTACATGCCAGTTGCATCGACATCCACAATCTCCCGTCTCACTCTGAAGCTACACCCATCCCTGGGCTGTTATTTCGTGTGTCGCTGGAAGACCTCTCTAATGAAGGCCTCGTCCTTCCTGAATGCACAGGATCTCTCGTATCCACACTAGAAAAGTTTATAGGAAAGGCCGAGTTCCTCACAGTTGTTGCTCCCTTACCCGGCCTCGCCATCCCCTATCACGACTTCTTGCGGCTTCTTATCTCCTTGAGAAAGCTTCAGATCAATGTTTTATCGGAACGCCGTCGAAGTTGGGCGACACCAGATCCAGATCCCGAACATTATATCAAGGAAGTAGTGGGATCCTTCATGACGGGTGACAACGTTCCTTTATCAGGTCTGTATCTTCCCCTTGTTTTTAATCCAGGATCCGAATTCTCATTATCCGTGTTTGCTAGTCTTGCGGAATACTTTCCCCTTATTGGAGGAAATAGTCGTACTCAAGAGGGGGGACTTTTTAAGATACCATGTAATATCCCACGATAGTTGATCTTGCCGCATTTGTCCTATAGAGCATGCAGCATCCTGAACCCTCGTAAGAAGTTCAGTCAGTGCTGTTCTTGACCCCACTTAGCCGTACAAACCGAGACATTAGGATAAAAGCTCCAGAGTCGGCTTATTTCTCTTCTTCAATGGTAGAGTATCTTTGTATAACGACAAATATTGGCCAACCGCCAGAGGCTCGAAGCTGGGGCTCCTCGTTAATTCTCTTATCATCAGATCGACACGGACAGCTTCATACCAAACGTTCTTCACAATGGCTATTCAAAGCCTCAGTTTAAATTTACCCGTCTTTGACCATGCCCTCCACGCAGCTGCCACGCACCGCGAACAACGCCCGGTGGCGCAAAATTACCATTTTAGTCGATTTGATGGGAGCTCCTCCAGCCAATCACGACGCGCATTCCTCCTCGATGGATGGCTGGCCCTTTGTAGGTTTGTCTGGAAGGCGTGTAGCTCGCGCTGGACGCTTCTTAAGGTCGCTATACATCAATATTCCCAACTTCAGGAATCATACTATCAAGTCGGATAAAAGTTGTACAGTCGGCGTCTCAACAACCTCCCGCACGACGCGATCGAAGAACTTGCGCACAGCACGTTGGTGTTGACGGTGTCATGATCGAACACAAGAGTTGTGGCGTCAAAGTAATTAATCTGATGTTGTCTATCGACTTTGGCTCAACACCAACGGGAGTGTCAAGTTATTTCTGACTTCATGTGACATCTCCGACTCCGCTACATACCATGAACACTTGAAAGGGAGATAGATAACTGGTGATTATTATTGATCATGAAGCGAGTTAAGGGACAACGAACAGGTATATTGCGCAAACTTTACAGACTAGGAAGGAAGTGTCCGAGCAATATCTACACCAATCGTAAGGGAAAGGGGAGGGGTATGTACTTGTCTAAAGTACGGTAGCGCTACGATTCTTGAAAGCTTGACCGCTCGGCGGTCCTAGATAATAAATAGTAATGAGGATATCCGATATGCCTATCAAATGAGAACCTGTGCCTGATCCCGCAGGACGTTCCATGGAACGGCAACATCACGTCTGCATGAAGTCCTGACGCGCTTGACTTGAAGTCAACAATGGGGGAGGGCTTGATCACCCTCACGCGTCTATTCAAACGCGAGTCTTGTTCCAACAAAGGGAAATGGGTAGAACATCCTGCTGCGCGGATGGCCAAGAGATGATTTCAACCTCGATCTCTCACACCTTCTGTAGAGGGCATTCGTCAGAATACTATTGAGTAGGAGACACGAGGAGCGTCACTTACCCGAGGGGACTCGACCATGCCGTAGTCAATCTCCTCCTGGAGTTCCTCTTCCCGTTCTGCGACGCGCATACGTCCCAGCCAGCAGATTGCCAGCATGGTGCCCAGTACGAGCAGTTCCGTGCCCAATACAGCGGACTGTCCGATCTGGATCTTCATGTTCCACTTGTGGGTACCCACGCGTTCTTGGATGAGCGTGGTGCTGAGCGGTCCGCGCGTCGTGATGTCCACCATGATACCGAACGCGATCGAGTTAATGATGAAGAGGAATCCGACGCTGAGGATGTTCCAGAGCTCGAAAGCGACTGGAGCGGGCACAATGACTTGCGAGGCCTCTTCGTCAGAGACAACGAGCATCAGGGTCCTCGTCTTGTTGGCGCGGGTCTTGCGTCCTCTCCATGCGACGATTCCGAAGGCGAGGTGGTGTGCGAGGATAAAGAATGCGACCGCGGCATTGAGCCAGATGGAGAGCATGCCGTAGTTGACCACAGACAGACCAATCATGGGGAGGCAGAAGAGGAAAGAGACGCCCATAAGGACGACGACCGACTTGGGGAATTTCTCGGCGTGCATTTTGAAGGCTTTCGGGTGTCAACACTATAAAATGGAACGAAAGTTGGCGTCTAGATAGACCACTGCCTGGTAGATAACGAAGGGCTTAGGGGAGGAGGGCTCAGCCGCTGAAGAGGATTTCGTCTTCTCCGCTCACTTATATCTGGCGACCTTGCTAATGCGGTGCGTGAGATTCATCACGTCGGGCGTTGTTGTGTTTCTCCTCCATCTTGACGTCTTGATGGCTAAAGCGATTGGCCAATAGGAGGCTCCTGTTTCCGTTGTATATGGCGGTGAACCCACAATACAACGGTTAGCATACTGGATGCATCATCCAATGGGGTTCGTCCATCGATATTTAGCATCCATCATAAAGGGAAGACTTGTCGTTTGTTGCTTTCTTCTCCCTTGCGTTTGATTGATCTCGAGGTTGCTCACGAGTTCACTTGAAAACATCCAGCAATGGCAGGCAATGGGAGACAGTATTGGATCCCGCCAGAAGAAGTGGATATTACTTGAAGCTACTTTAGAGGGGAATGCAGCCAACCGCAACTCTGCCGGCCGGGTGAATGACGGCGAGCGCTGAAGCCAATGTGCCGGGCGCTGATGGCCCTGATAAGCGCGTGGGATATATCCAGAAAAGGACTTTCAGCCGGACCACTACTACTCTTATCGAATCCAAGTTTCCTAACGACAGAGGGCCAAAAAGAATCTGAAATTACGCTTCGATTCTACTCGCACGTATCATACGCTACACCGTGCGCGAAATCAAGCTCAATAAGCATTTCTTCGTTGGCAGCAGGTGCCGTTGAACTTGAACGAGTTCGACTGGCTCTTTAGCGTTTTCGAGACGCTTGTCGATTTCGAAACATCGAACTATGCGTGGCGAGAGTGGGCAACTGACAGTCCCATTATCTGCTCAGTGCCTAGAGATTTAGCGGAAAGGGAACATGATGGTCGGTTGATGGAATGTTGAACTAGTCGTTTTAGGCGAATATTGCTGACAAAGCACAGAACAATGCACAAAGTCAGGTCGAACTCGTTCCTCCCTTACTTCACCCAAACAACCATGGCAAATCCTCCCAATGTCCTCCAAATGCTTTTTTTTTCTAAAGTCCCACTGTCTAACTCCTCTGGGCGAAGCTTGACTGAATTGCTATCCATGCGGATCACTCTCCCTTGGCTTTGTCCGAGATTTCTCGATCTGCTCTCGATCAGCCTCAACCAAAGAACGCTTCCTCGGCGCAGGTCGTAAGCCACATTACATGGCAAATGTATTGGCAGCGATCCAGGAAGACTGTTTAGGTTGACTGTTTTCTATTTTCTGGACGACACGCAGCGACATCGTTTTATAAACCTAGGTCGTGAGGCGGGAGATGGGGACAGTTACCGGTGGCCCTCATGTGGTACGCACTGCGATGTCATTGTTCGCCAATTCAGCGGCTATTTGTTCTACTTGCGACTTTTCGTTCTCACTGCACCCGCATTGTTGGCTTCCCAAATGCTAGGAAGCTTTCTCGAGTGTACAATGCGGACCATTCGACGTTCACCACACATTGTTCGAGACTTCACCGGCCGGACGTCCGGACGTCCTTTCCTGCGAGGGCCCCCTATAAAGCCGGAAGTCGCATCTTGACCACTGTTCAGAACCATCCGCGATAGACGGGTTTCTTCTGCAATACGGTATGTCTCCATTTACATTTTCGGCTCCCAGACTCCATCTTAAATTTAGAACCGCATTACGCAGAGTCTTACTCAAACGGCCATCTCTACCACGATGTCGGATCGATTGCCGTCTGAGGTTTGGATGCAAATTTTTGCTTTAGCCTGCCTCGATTCTGGTGTCACCGGCCGTCACCTCTCCCTCGTCTGTCGTCAGTTTCACGACTGTTCAAAACCCTACAAGCTTCAGTCGATCGCTCTGAAGAGAGGAAAACACATCATCGCTTTCCACCGACACATCGCCCAACTTCCACCCCAGGAAAAGCGCGTCAAGTTCCTTCTCGTGCGATGCCCGAACCTATTCCTTGACGTCTCTGATGACGAGGAAGACATGGACTTCCAAGATGACGACGCGATGAGCCTCGACACCAGCGTCAAGAGCAGCGACTCGAACGGCAGCATTGTCGACATGGAGATGTCGCCCGACGAGATTGGTGACATTGTCGCAGACGCCAATGTCGATTACCCCGACGTCCACTCCCCCATGGAAGGTGTCCAGTCGGCCGTCGACGCCGAGATCGGTGCCGCCGATACTTTGGTCCTCGAAGCGTTCCGAGGCATCATGGAAGACATCTCGTCCACTCTCACCCTACTCTATGTCCACTGGGTCTCCATGGCCCCTCTCCTAATCGAAGACTTCCTCATCCCCCTCCCACATCTGGAGGAACTCTCTCTTCTTCGAGTCTGGACTTCGGAAGACGAGACGGCCCCCGAGAGCGACGACCCACCTCCCCTTCTTTTCCCAAAACTCAAATATTACTCTTGGTGGGGATATTACGAGGAGCGGTGCACGTCGCTCAGGGAGCAAATCGAGCATATGGCGCCGAACGTCACAGACTTCCGCCTTTCTCTCGGCCAGATAAAGCAAGTCCGCATCTATAGTATAAACGTTCTGTTGCTCACCCTCCTTGCGCAGTCCTCCGCCAGAGAACCTCCGCCTCCCAGAAAGCGTTGAAAGACTCATCATCCTCTGGACGGAAGAGCGCATGCCAGCGGCGCATGCCCACTTCAAGCAGGTGGTGTTCGGCCCTGAATTGGCCGGCTCGAGGACTGTGAAGTTCGTCGACAGCCATGCCAACAAAGGCGAACTTGACGAGGAGGATTGGGTGGCTGAATGGCTTGAGCGGGTTGCTGGTGGCCCGGGTCCGTGGTAAATTGCACGGCGCCGTCGATGTAGTAGGCTTGGTCGTTGGGCAGCTGGCTGCGCAACAACTTGTCCATTCTTTCGGTCAGTGTGCACGTTGGGAATACGGGGCGTGATCGTGAAACAGGGGTCGGGCATCCCAACTCAGTACTCAGCATGAGCAGGTCATCATATTTACTCTATTTATGTAATTCCTTATTGCATCCCAGTATTCTTTCGAAGTTCTACGATGATAAGATAGCCGCTGGGATACAATATGGAAGCCTTTGACAGTGCCAAATAATTTAATTGTATAGTAGTCTCTCCTCGTTTGATAAATTTGGGATAGAGTAGGATCGTCCTTACCGGAATGCGGTTACTTGTAATCAGAGCCCAGACAGCTTAATACTCAATTCTATACGCGCTTGGCGCAACATCCGCGTTAATATTCGGGCCCGACATGACCTTCAAAAAATAAAAATCCAGCAACGGATCAATTTCCCCCACCCTCGGAGGTCGCCCGGGTGGAAGAGCAAATATCCTCGGACTCATAAGGCTGATGAAACCTATGAGCGCCTACGTCTTTCTGTGCCTCGCCACGGTGGCGAGGCACAGCCAAATGGCCATATGGGGGTCACCCCCATATGGCCATTTGGATGCCTGGCTTCGTCCTGAAGCATCAGTGTCTTCTCACTTTACACTGAAATAGCCTGAGTTATATGATCTCAAGAATTCCAGGTCGTTAACATGTGCGGGTCAGAGTGTTGAGGACCCTGGCGCCTGAGGCTCATGCTTCACCGTCCGCATAGGGGAGAAGGATAAGAAGTGAGGACAATGAAGCTGGATACAATATCATTGAAGAGCTTGTGTACTTCACCGACTAGAAGGTGGGTCGTGACATGACCAGCAGCAACTCCTGCCACACCAACTCCTGCCAGCACAGCATTAGGCTTTAGCCAGTGCTAAGGCACTACATTATGGATCAGGTAGTAAACGTATGGAAAAGGTGCCCGACTGGCAGGCCTTCTGTGTTTCAGGCCTTAACACCAGCACTCTGCCATTGTAAAACATTTTCGGCAACCGTCACTACATTGAACAGAATTCAGTTTCACTGATGCATTTCAGGATCGACGGAGAAGCACACCTGTAGTATCTGGAGCAGCGTCGGTGTACTCTTTGCCCAGCCCATCCTCCTCTTCATCCTCCTCGCTGTCGGAATATTCGTCATCGTCATCGTCGTCCCTGCCAGTGGGATATAAGCCAATCGAAGCCAGAATCGCTTCATCTTTCCGATCGAGCGGCTCATCTAAACAACACATCAGAAAGAATCTCCTAGCAGTCAGATGACAGACTTACCTCGACCAGAAATAAGATAGTGACAGTAGTCCACAATTTCCTCGCGGGAAGCATCCGGGGGAGGCTTTTCGACTTCAGCGCCAAACCTGGAGGACCTCATAGCCACATCCCGCCTGCCTCTACCTCGTCCTTTTGGAGTGAGGGTCTTATCCTCGCCGCGCCGAGTCAAGGAACCTAATTCGTCCACGTTTTCCATCACCACATCTTGGTCTTCATTGTTTCTCGCAGCTTTCGAAGCGGCAAGCACGAATGCTCCTTCAGATGCTCCCAGAGCAACTTGGACAACAGGCTTGTAGTATATCTTGTCCGCGAGGGCGAGGGTCAAGTTGACAAGTTCTTGATAGTCCACGCATAGAGGCTGGAAGGCGGACCTCATGTATCGCCGGAACGCCATGGCGGCGTTGAGAACAACGAGGAACGGATTGAGGCAGTGCTTCTGTGCAAGGCGGCAGGTGGGACGAAAGGCAGGAAACCGTGGAGAGTCGTTGTTCGATGTCTCGCGCAAAGCCCCATCCGCACTCGCCATATACAACTTTCCGACCAAGCGGGCAGGATTGTTAGGATCCTGAGTGTGCATAGCTAGGGCGCTGCCGATGGGAAGAAAGTGGTCCGGGTGTAGGACCACCATCTCGTATTCCGCATTCGAGAATGGCTCTTTCTCAATCTGGAAAACTTGCCTGAGCACAGGTGCTTAGGCAGGACATCAGGAACTCACGTCGAAAAATCGGGTGTATGCGCTGGGATACTGATCGACCAACTTCTTATTTTCTGCGTCGACCACCTCTATCATGGAATTGAGTGTGACCTTTGAGCAAGTGACAGCGAAGAATCCAAGTTTATCCATAGTATAGTACAAAGTCGGATCCACTACGAAGAGAGTTCTTCAATAGCCACGGCGCAGAAGAATTCGCATAAACTTACGAGGCGTGAGGTTACTAGCAGAGTTCAAGCTGAAATCTCTACGAACAACGCTCAAACCGTTGAGGAAACGTTCCTATTTTATGGTCAGACAAGTTCAAAATCATTCCACAATAGAGAACGTACTACTGCCACCTTCTCAGGCGGATTTTCCCTCACAGCATTGATCCAATGAGCTTTCTGGAGAGCGTATCCAGGTTTTCTTGTTATGAAGCAAGGCTCGTCCGCTCTGATATGTTCGCGTTGTTCTTTTTCAGAGTTGGTGCAGCTGGGCGTCACGCTGGCCACAGACATGTCGCCGGCAGAGTGGGTTCGATGGAGAGCGGGCAGGTTAAGGCTTGTAATCTCCTTGACTCTGTTGTAAGTGAATGTCGTGGAAATTCGTGCTGAGCGTGTGGGTTTGTCTTGTCGAATAGCCGCCATGATGAGGGTTTAGACGCAAGCTACGGGCTGATGAGTTCCGAATTCGTGCTACCGTTTCAACACGCGTCATGTGATCCGTCCGAGGGCACCTTCGTCCTCTGAAGTATTACTAACAAGTTTCGACGACCATCATCTCGCGCGTGCATGATCCGGAGGATCCCCAAGGAGCCACCCATATTTCCGGCTACGAGCTATCTTTGCCTTTGAGTTTCAAGCTTGTCCTGGCGGCTCCGAATGGGCAGCTAGTGGCGAGGATGTGAAGTAAACTGGCAATCGTGCACCAGGACGAATACAAATCGCGCGCTTTGGTTCCATAGTAGTATATATATGCTGTGAACCTCGACACCAATCGTACCGAAGCAAGACGCCCATTCATTGAGTAAAGGAAATAAAGATAAGCTATTAATACAGGTATCGAATTCGCTTTTTCGAGAGTTCTGATGTTCTTACTAGCTACTAGATCATGCGAATGCGAGGTGAAGGAAGATAGAAAGTGAAAGCCTAACAAGATTTGAATAAGAGGTATGGTACTTATATATAATAAAAAGTATTCAGGATGCTAGAGATTTTTGGTGGAGTGTCAAGAGAGGGTGAAAAGAAAGCCTGGAAAGCGGAAACGAGGGAAGAGGGCAGGGAGGGTGAAGAAGGGGAGGAGGGACGAGAGAGCAACGCAGATACGAATATATGGGCACGAAAAGAGTACACGACCCACCGTTTATGCACCATCCGTGTACTTCATCACCGTCCACACAATCCCCATACTCAGTGCAATGATGAGCACGAACGCCGCCCCAACATACATCACCAGCTCTCCCGTGCCCACACTCTTCGCCTCATACGCGCCCTGGCCCTGCCCATTCGCACCTCCAGCCACCACCCCATTCCTCAGATCCTCGATCCGTTTCCTCTTCTTGAGGGTTTCCTCCAGCGCCTGGTCAGCGAGGACGACCTTGGCGCGCGCGTCGCTGGTGTCAAGCGTCTGCGAGCGCGTCTCGGGGTTGAAGTGGACGAAGGAGGGGTAGTGGTGCTCACACCACGCCTCGATCTTGCCGCATGCGACGGAGAGGCGGATGAAGTTCGGGTCGGAGGGTAGGGCTTTGGCGTGGATCCGTCGGGCGTATTCACGGAAGATGAGGCCGACTTCGCGGGGGTTTGTTGAACGCATGATGAGCTGAGAGGGTGGACGGATGGGTTATAAAATGAGATGGTGGGACGATGAGGGGAGAAACGTACCTTGGCAGCCTCCGCCTTCCGAATCTTGATATTCCGCTGGAACATCTCCTTATTCATAAAGCACAGCTCCAGCGTTGCGATCGCCATCGTCGCAGGGATAGCACAGAAGTTGAACACACTCTGGTTCCTCAACATCCTCAGATAATCCAGCGCGTCCGTCGAATGACGAAGGGCGTCCAAAATCATCCCGCTCTGCGCCCACACCGCCCTCTTCACCGTGTCCGGGTCCGTCCCACACATCTCCTTCATCTCCGCGAACCCGTACTCCTTGCGCCCCCAGATCTCCTTCGGCCAGAAGAACCGACGCTCGTCACAGTCCTCGCGGTAGTCACGGATGATGTTGGTCTTCTGGAGGAGGAGGCCCATCGAGTTGGAAAGCTCGAGCTGGGAGCCGACCCACGCAGCCTCTTTGCCTGACGCAGAGAAGAGCCGTGAGAGGCCCTCGCCGACGAGCCCGGCGACATAGTGGCAGTATAGGTCGTACTCGGCCACGGTGGACAGGTAAATTGAGCCGATCGTGGCGGCCTTGTGCGCGTAGTCGGCCATGCCGTTCTCCATTTTTTGGCAGATGTCGATGATGACGTCCTTGTATCTGGATGGGGAAATTAAATTTTGATGTAATACGGTGAATCGGACGGAGTGCATACGCAGGAGTGAGGAAGTTCACTTCGTCCACGACGGTGTCGTACTCGACAAGTAGTTGTCGGTCTTTCTCAGCCGGACCGCAACCATTGTAGTTCCATCCTGGTGTTACAGTGTGGATGTGGAAGGAGCGGAGGATGGGTTGTTTGATTTCGTCAGGAATCGTCATGTCATCTTCGATCGTGTCGAGTCCTCTTAGGACGAGATAAAATAGAGCAATCTGAAACAATGGTGTAGTGAGTATAAGAGACCCAAAGCCAAAAAAAGCGATGAAGAGATCAAGAGAAAGAAGGGAGAAAAATGGAGTCGAATTTTAGGCCGAACTCAGAAGGCATGATAAGATACTTTCTCCAACAGGCAACGAGGAGGGGACACCACAACCACACAAAACGAGTAGCGCGTCCGATGGCTGAGTAGTAGCTGCAAGGTGCATTCTCACGAAAAGAGAATCGAAGCCACGTCAAACGTCGCTCCCCCGTCGTGTCGCCTTCGCGTGTCCATGACCCAGAAGGTCTAGGCGATAGGCAATAGGTGGCTGCAGCCCAATCTTCTTCGGTCCTCCTGTCTGAATCGCTGCAAGTCCATAAATAGCCCTCTCGTGCTAGTCCGGAGGAGGTATCGGAGGTCTGCCAATTTGGCAGTTAAACATCTTCTCCTTACGCAGCCCGGAGGTGAAACAGACGTGGCCGATCCCCTCTCCTTTCTGCAGCAAAGTGCAAAGCAAGAAACGATGTGGAACGGATATGAAGCACACGACGAAAGGGTGCGAATCCAACGAGCAGACGCGCTGTGCTCACCGTACGTGCAAGGTCGCCCTCCAGCTCCTTAATGACCGCCGAAAAACTTCTGCTGTCATGTCCAAGAACTCCCAACATCTCCGCATGGATTGACGGTCCCATCCTGACGTCGGGTGCTCCTTGAGGGCCTTGATGTCGCGCTTCTGCTCGTGGTACAGGTAGAACTGGACGAGCGTCCTGAACTCGAGCGGGTGGGTAAGGAGGAGGGCGAGCCAGTTCACGAGACCCATCGTTGGCGAGGAGGAGGAGAAAGGGGAGCTTAGGGGGAGGTGGAGTGTGGACGGGAGAAGGGAAGGTGTGGGGATTTTAAAAAGGCTCGTACGATTCGCGTCACCCCACTTTCATAGCAGATTTTTTTGGGATTTCCTTTTCTGGAAAGGAGTTGGGCCGGCCCGGACGTGGGCACTGCTCCTTTTCTCCGCTACCACCACAAATGGACCCACCCCTCACACCGCCTGTCCGCATTCAGCCAGTGTCGTCGACAATTATTACCACGAAGGATGCGCAGAAGCAGCTGGAGAGGTTTCTGGAGGACTTTCAGGCGAGGAGCACCTCTGCCCAAGGAGGAAACAGCGCAGTAACGGTGCAGCTGCAAAAACTCGCCGCCGCGCTGAAGGAGGAACGAAGACAGAAAAGGAAGGAAGGGAAAGAGAAATAGGATAGGTCTCTGTCGAACATATCAGGCAATGGGTGAGAGACGTGTTTCTATGTATTGCTGTGCGCCATGCTGATACGATTTCAAGATGCGAATGGCCTGTCGTCTCATCCAACTCAACCCGTCAGAGGATGTCAGAGGACTGTGCCCTCATTTCGGCATCGCAAGAACGCTTGGACCCTTCCATTGCACCATTAAACCTTGTCTCACCTCAAACCATGCTCCAAGACGAAGATATACCGGAACGATGATTATGCATGATAGTAGACGTCTTCGGCGGCCGTAGGAGAGGGATCAAGCTTCAGAGGCCTGGATGAGTAATCCATGCTATCTGATTGGTGTTTTCTGCGGCGCTGCTCCATCATCTTGTACGAACCTGTCCTCTTGCAATGAACAATCGGCGGCGATTCGAAGACCTAGAGTGGCTGCGCACTGCCAAATTGACGTCCATCTTTCGATTCGGCCCTTTGCGCGTCTAATTATAAGGTTCTGAATTTCTTGGAAGGGAGGAAAAGCACGCCGCACCGACTGCGCAGGATGCCTTACGGCACATATCGGTTCCATGGCGTAGTTGGTTATCGCATCTGTCTAACACAGAAGGTCCTAAGTTCGAGCCTTGGTTGAATCATCTTTTTTGTTCTTCACTTGTCTTCTATCCGTTAGTGTTCAATCGTTCCGATTTTTAGATCGAAAGTGATGTTATGACCCTCTTGATTTCCTCAAAAACTCAGTGTCTTCATTCTTCGAAGAAAAATCGGACTCCAGTGCAACCTGTCGGACCCGTCCTTAATTCGCGGTTGTATCAGATCAGTTTTTGGTCAATGTGAAGGCTGCAGTCTATCTACAGGCGTTCAAGGAATTTGAGCCGGGGCCTGGTCCTTCGGAGCCCAGTACTCGGATCCATCATCCAAGGATCTAAACTACGGAAGATGCATATTTGATCTCCGAAAAGACATTCGGAGCACCATTCTCCTCTGAGTTATCGTCGTCTATCCCCGGCCATTAATTTGGATTACCATGTATCGAGAACGTAGGCTATCCTTGAAGTAGTTGAAAATATAACGCTGTGGGAATGAGGGCCACCATTCATATCGCTGCTGTGAGTGCGCCACACACCTTTTTTGGCCATATTTACCTAAAATATATTTCACCTGAAATTGTGTGTGACTTGCCCACCAGGAGGTAAATGTAGTGGTTCATTTTGACCCACTTGATATCGGCGAAGGAGTATTTTCATAAGTAAGAAAATCAAGGAAGAAGGAAAGCAGAGACAGACGGTGGGGTCGAATGGCGGTGCCTTTGTTTGGCTCGCAAATAGGACGACTTCGACGGGAACTCCCTTGAACCTTCTACCCTTGCACTCTGTTTCTTGCCTTCAACCACCACTCACCAACACGACTTTCCGTCCAACTACCTTGTGTTCGTAATTATTTCTGAACTGTTCATCTTCTCCGAGATCATAGGAACATGGACGTATTGAAAACTGTCCACCAACTGTCCACACGATTGAGGCAGTGCCTCGGCGCCAACTCGGCGCTATTTCAGGTTGGTCTCTTCAGGTTGGTCTCTATTTCTCGTCTTCGCATCGTGGTATCTCGGTGGTCTCTCATTGTTTCGTCTTTCATATTGGGAGTACCTTTATTCACCTACATATATGCGTTAAAATTTGACTGCTAGGTGCTTCTTCTGGGCACCTTTCATCCTTAAATGCCTTGACACACGGCATGGAATCAATCATATTCCTCATTTCTAGTAAGTGGATATGAAGTTCTTCTGCGATTCGTTGTTTGCGCTGCGCTGAATGCGCATATATTCGCAGCTTTTCCTTCTATATGCACATTGCGAAATAGATTCCCCGAAAATGCGCCACAATATTCAACAGTCAACTTAAGGAAGAGGAATGATGATCGATGTGGCCTGTACATGGATCATGACCCTCGAGAAGAACGTTTCAAGTTCACCATCAACGTCAGCACGCATCTCGTAGAGGAATCTTAGAGCTGACCATCTTTTCCTTCACGCACGTTCTGATTGTTCCCCCCATTTCACTCCCAAGACAGCTGAGGAGGAGATTCCGATGTGTAGGCGCCCAATGGCATTCACGCTTTCCTCTTCACTCTGAGTTGAAAAAATTTGAGGATCACCTTGTTATGGGAGATCATGGGAGATCAAGGTGATTTCTCGACCATTTTTACGCATATATTTCACTCATACAGATATAAATCGTCGATTAGCTCCTGGGGATAATTCTCGTCTTGCCATTGGACAGTGATGCCCTATATAAGGCGCTTGCACGTTTGTCAGCGGCCCGGCAAAATTGAGACAAGTCACGCTGACTCGGGAACGCGCTGTGACTCGAGAACGTTCCGAAGCAGTCGACCTCTTATCTCGCCCACACCTCTGCAGCGTATCGCGCTCCGTCGCTCGACTTTACCCTCGGGCTCTCCAGCAGCACTACCTCAGTCACCGCATTTCCGTCGCTCAACTCGCACTCCTGCCACCTTCATACAGTTCACCAAGTCGAACCGGAAGGACACCCAACCAGACAGCTCGACCTCGCTCGAAGGAGTCTTCACCAAGCCTCCTTCCCTGGGTCGTCCGGTCTGACACCAGAACATCTGCATGAGCTTGCTCCATGATTATTTCAACACACGGAACTTGCAGGGCTTTCAGCGCCTGCTTGATGGCAGCGCCGAGCGGGGACAACCCGCCTCTGGCGCGCCGTCGTCTGCACCTCATGGGTCCAGCTATACGGCCGGAGGAGGGAAATCGTGGAACCGAACCGGAGGGGTAGCAAGCACTGCGAATCGTTCCGGTGTCGACGTGAATGCCAAAGATTGGCTTGGGAGGACGCCCCTTCACCTCTCCTGCACCTCACTGGAGAGCATCGAGTACACCCGCGCGCTCCTGAAGCATCCGCAAATCGACGTCAACCTTCCAGACGTGGAGAGTCATTGGACACCGTTGCATAGGGCCCTCTACTCCGCGAATCTTCCAGCCGCGTGCGTCCATTCTACCAAACATAGCTATCTGCCGGCAGGATATTTCGCTGACGTCATTTCACACACATTTCAGCTTGCTGCTCTTGCAACGTTCAGACATCGACGGGTCGTTGAAAGACTACGAGGGATATACATCCTTCGATTTGTACAATTCTACAGTTGATGGAACAAAGCCTGAGCCAGCGGCGATGAACGCGGAGCTGTTTACCTGGGGTGCAAATCGGTATGTGCGGGATCTACTGTTTTATTTGAATTTGAATTTGAATTTTTTTTTTTGGTATAGCAATGCAGCTCTCGGGGTCGGAGACGGCGACGACAGGACTTTTCCTGACCGTGTCAATATCAAGTCTAAAGACAAGGAAGACCCAGAAACCTTGAGCAAGATGAGGATATCAGCCAGGTTCTCTCTAATCCACGTGCGGCAGATACAAATGTCCAAACTCCACACTGGTATGATCATATATCATAAATTGAGCTCAACGTCGCTCACTTCAAATCAAGCGGTCGTTACAACAGAGAGCGAGGGGAATCTGCGGCTTTGTGGGTTTGGAAGCGGTGGGCGGTACGTCGCTCGTCACCTGAATGCTTTCCACAAATCTTATCACCCACCAGACTTGGCTCGGGCCAGCATACTCAATATAGCCTCAAGCCGCTTCCTTCCTTCAACCTCTCCGTCGTCCGTGTCGCTCTGGGACAAGACCACACGTTGGCCCTTACGAAGTCGGGCGAGGTATACTCTTGGGGTCTCAACCGTTTCTCGCAACTGGGATACGCCGTCGAAAACACAACGACTGGACGCCATGAAGAACCCATCCAAAGTGTTCCGAAGAGGGTTGTGGGTTTGCTGAGGAGAGAAGTCGTCCGTGGCGTTGCTGCAAGCAAGAATGCTTCTGCTTGTTGGACGAACGAAACGGTCTTTACATGGGGCACTAATACCGGACAATTGGGTGAGTTTCAACACCTTGTTCATCACGATTTTCTTTATTGAACTGGTGATCGTGACTAGGTTACGACAAGAATGCACAACCTGTCCAAGTTCTTCCTAGACCCGTTACCAAATTCACTGGCCCCGTCGTCGAACTTGCCATGAGTGTATGTTCCTAGAACCATAACTCATGCACGACTTGACGCCGCTGCAGGACACCGTTCTCGTGGCCCTGCTTGCTACTCGCAATGTTGAGTGTGTTTGGAACGACAGGCAGTATCGCATCAAGCATGTCCTTCTTCATGATATTGCCTTGGCTAATTTACTGACGTCTGACGTGTAGCTTCTCATTGCAAGCATTCCCGACTGGCATTCAACCTTACCGACCGCCGCAGTCCGTCAATGATTCGCGCATTTCCAAGATCACCTGCTGCGATGACACCTTCGCTGCTCTTTCGTCCAGCGGCGAAGTGTTCACATTCGCAGCACCGGCCTCCGCGGATACGTCTGCTAGCGAGGGAAGAGGTCCGATTTTCAAGCCACAGAGAGTCTGGGCCTTGAAGAAGAAGTTCAGCGCAGTCAAGGTGTGTGTCGACATTATCTTTCTTTGCACGGTATGCCAAAACAGCATCTCTCCAGGACATCGCTCTTGGATCCGACGGGTCGATCATCATCTGCACTGAATCCGGACATGTGTTCGTCCGAACAAGAAACACGAAAAGTCCATCTGGAAAAGCATTCAAGTTCGAGCGAGTTCCGTACTTGCAGCGTGTGACCCAGGTCTGCGCGAACAGCACTGGAGCATTTGGTGCTCTGCGGATCGATTATGCGCCTAATGCCATCCAAGTGACTGGCAAGACAATTGCGCAAGACCTGAAGACGGTGCAACCTTATCTCAAATTCTACCAGGCTCCAGATGAAAGCGACTCAGAGAACGGCAAATTAGCCCGACCACATTCAAATTCAATTGGGCGGAGACCTCGTAGTGCCACACTCGCTTCCTCTTTCCATTTCGACGACGAACCAGAAGATGAAACTATCGAAGATGACATCGACCGCCTCCTCGAACTGTGCGACGTCCTCGCTGTCGAACAGCGAATGCGAAAGGGGGGTGGTGGTAGCATCAACTACGATGGTGTTTTTCTCTCACATGGTGCCGACACGATGATCCACGTCCACTCTGGTGCTGCTTTTCCTGCCCACAGGGCCATCCTCGCCGCCCGTTCGCAAGCTCTCGAGGCACTCTTATCCGGCTCGGGAGCATTTGTCGACCAGAAGTCGAGCATATCCCTCAGGCTCATGCCAGCGAAGCCTGGGCCGGGGTTAGGTGTATTCAAGCTGACTCGACTGTCAATTTCGAGATGCCATCCGCTCGCGGTGCTTATCTTCCTAAGTTATCTATACTCCGATACGCTGGTCGCTGTGTGGGACAGGAGGGTAGCCGTATCTGTTGAGAAGGAGCTGGCAGCGTCGAATGCCAGCCCGGCTCAAATCAAGGCAGATCTGCAGGCACTGGCGAGGGTTTTGGAGTTACCTCTACTGGTCGCAGCTTTGGAACCCCCAGTAAAGCGCGAGCCAGCGCCGTCGATGGCCCAGGACATGCAACGTCTATTCGACGCCGTTCAGAAGGGTTCTCTATCCAAGTCGTCGCCTCTTGCTCCCGATGTTGTTCTTCAGCTCGCCGACAAGGATGTTTGCACGCATTCCGTCATCCTGCGTGCAAGAACCCCGCTTTTCGCTAGCTTTTTCGATTTAGAGGACTGGACGATCAAGAGATGGGCAGCCGATGGCTCGATTCGGATCGATTTGAAGCATCTGACGTGGCGCGTCATGAAGTTTGTGCTGGGGTTCATGTGTTGTGGGCAGGACGCGGAGATGTTCCATGTGCTAGGTGCGTTTCTCATTGTTGTTCAGTTATCCGCTGCTTATCACATCCTGTCCTTTCAGACTTTATCCACTCTGTTGACGAACTTCTCCGATTTATGTTTGATGTCCTCGCCGGAGCTGTACGTCCATACCTTCTTATATTGACGGTGCTGAAGCTTATCGTTTTCGCCACTAGAACGAACTTCTTCTGGACCGTCTAGTTCTCCTGTGCTCGTCAGAGATTCTGGCACACATCAACGTCCACAACGCTTGCTTCGTTCTCGCAGAAGCGACCTACTATCACGCCCAATCTCTCGTTGAGAAACTTCAAGAGTACATCTCGATCAATATGGAGACCTTCCTTGAAGGGCGTATCCTGGATGAGATCCCATACGCACTCGTCAAACAACTCGCAAAGTTTACACGGTTGCGTCAGACGAAGAAATCACCGTTCGCGAGATCGGATGAGTTTCTGAATGAGATGATGAAGAAGCACGCTGATTGGCTGAAATTGCAAGACTTTCCGGAGACGATCGTCCAATTGGTCAGCAAAGGGCCTTTGAAGAAAGATAGCTCTTTGACGAAGATATCTCCAACACTTTCTACCAAACAGTCTGTTCCGAAGATGTCACCAACGAACTCGCCACAGGTTGCCTTTCATTCTCCTGGCCTGTCATCGATGCCTGATCCTTCTGGTGATGACGTCTTCATTATGGACGAGCCTGACCACCCTCTAACTTCTGCTTGTCTGGAGGCGACGGTTTCACCCTCCGTCGTTATTCCTCCACGCCCTGTATGGAAAGCGCATGGTGTCCCAAGGTCTGACCACCTCTACTCTTTCGTCTATGTGATTTTCGTCTGACATTTCGCATTTCATTCAGGGTTGACATGAAGACTGTCATGGCCGAAGCTGCCATACAGCAGGCATCTTCATCCCGACCGTTGCCCGCCCCGAACATTCAAACCTCTCCGCGAGCAATAGCCACCACGACAGGCCCCTCTATGTCAGCGACAGGAATATCAGGCTCTCCGTCAACGAAACCTCCTGTCAAGACCGGAGCGTCTGCTCCTTGGAGGATACCTGCAAACTCTACAGCTGCAGGTGGCACGGCCGCCACACCACCCCGCCCGTCGAATACGCTGTCGGCCCCCAGCCTTCCAAGCACAAGCGGTCGATCTCCAGCATCAAGCTCTCCAACTGGCGGTCGACTTCAGCCGCCTGGAACGCCAACTCGTGCATCAGCACCAGGGCTTGGACCAGTTATTACTCCTACTCGACAGGCACCAGCAAAGACCGGTACTTCCGACAATCGAGTTCCGAGTAACTCGTACGTCTCTTTTCCCGACAACAGTGGTGCAGTCAATCAACATTTGCTCAATTTTTGTACAGGACAAAATCATGGGTCTTCCCACCCCTTCAAACAGCAGCTGCCCCATCGCCGCAGCCGACAGGGATGTCCTTCATTGCCATTCAACACTCGCAACGCGAGCAAGCCGCACCTGTCAAGGATAAACGGTCCCTCCGAGAGATCCAAGAAGAGGAACAGTCCCTACAACTTGAAGCGGACTTCCTCAAGTGGTGGACAGCTGAAGAAGAGCGGGTTCAGCAAGAAGCTTTGGCTTTGGCACAATTCCAAACTAATATGGGCAAGCAAACACCTAGCAAGCCCCGGCCATCCAAACAAAAATCAACTACTAGCAAGGACAGGGAGAAAAGCGAGTCTACTCCTGGTAATATTCCAAGGGTGGCAACTGCCCAGAATTCAGACAAATCAGGCCAACAAATACCACCTAGACGAAGGCCAAAAAAAGCAGGCCAGAAGAACACTGCGGACTCATAGTCTTGATTCATGATCATGACGGCATATCCATGTTCTAAGCTTTCTTCGCATCGATATAAGAGTAAGTTATGATTATACATATGGCATCTATGCTCGTTTCAATACTTTAGAATGTGGTAATTAGCTAGCTATGTTTCGTAATGCTTATTAGATGCGTCTAATTGATACAGATGTAAGAATGAAATGAGTAGGGGGGGATCATCAAGTCTGAATGGAGGTATGAAGAGAGCGAGGTCCTGGCGTCTAGTGTCTGGCCTCCTCATCTTCCAGTGGAGGGTTCTCCTCTGGATTAACTTCAGAATCTGGTCTGTTGACCGTAGGATCAGGAGGATGGTTGTCCACAATGTCAATCTTGTGGTCAGCTAGCCGAATCTTGACGTCGTCCCCATCGCGAATGGTTCCTCTCAACAGCTTCTGCGCCAGTGGGAAGAGGACGTCGGTTCGAACGATACGGGCAATTGCACGGGCGCCGTAAACGTCCGAGTATCCGTGCTTGGCAAGCCATTCGCGAGCACTCTCCTCAACATCCAATGTAATCCTGCGAGCCTTCAGCCTCTCCGCTACATCGTTGAGGCGCAGCTCGACGATCTTGAGAATGGAGGCCTTAGAAAGCTTGTTGAAGACTAGCATCGAGTCCAAGCGGTTGAGCAATTCCGGAGGGAAGTACTCCGCTGTGCGTTCGAGCACCTCAGAGCGAGCTTGGGCCGCAATTTCGCCTGTTTTGTGGTTGCTGGCAGATGAATGGGCGAGGATGTCACTTCCAAGATTGCTTGTCAAGCAGATGATAGTGTTCTGAGAGTGCACAGGTTAATACTTGTGCAGGTGAAAAGAGATCGAAAAACGTACCTTGAAATCGACCTTCCGACCCTGGCTATCTGTAATGGTTCCTTCGTCGAGGATTTGGAGCAGGATCATGGCCACGTCCTGTAGAATATGCGTAAGCATAGATCAGGCAGAAGATAGAGCTGACCATGCCTTATGCGCCTTCTCGAGCTCGTCTAGCAAAATGACAGCATAAGGCTTCCTTCTGACGGCTTCAGTCAACTGGCCACCCTCCTCGAAACCAACGTAGCCGGGAGCTGCTCCGATCAAACGCGATATCGTATGTCTGTCATGGTACTGAGAAATGAGGAACGTTAGTTGAATGAAATCATCGAAGATGAAGAACAGCGTACTTCAGACATGTTAATCGTGATCCTGGACACCTTTAGTCAGCTGTAGTCCAAATTTAAACATGTAACGAGAGGACTCACAATCCTCGCTGCTCGTCGTCGAACAAGAATGACGCCAACCCCTTGCAAAGCTCCGTCTTGCCGACACCAGTAGGTCCCAAGAACAAGAACGACGCGACAGGACGGTTGGGTGCTTGGAGGCCGGCACGCGAGATGCGGACTGCGTCGCTGATGGCTGAGACGACGTGGTCCTGTCCAACGACCCGCTTCTTGAGGGCGTCTTCCATCTAGGACACGAACATTTAGTCATTCGACACACGAAACGAAACAGCGAAAACACGCATACATGGACAAGCTTATCCCGCTCTCCCTTCAAGAGGTTCTGTACCGGAACACCGGTCGCTTTCGCCACTACCCGAGCAATATCGTTCGAGGTAACACGATCGTGAAGCATTGCGAGGGAGGATTCTTCACGGGCCTCTTCCTCTTTCTCGGTCGGGAGTTGCCTTTCCAATTCTGGGATGGTCGCAAACCGCAGACGCGACGCTAGCTCGTAGTGGCCTTGTCGTTGGGCAACCTCGAGCTGGTGCTTCGCTTCCTCAAGCTTCTTCTTGGTCTGCTTGATCTTGTCAAGGCGGGCACGCTCTGCAGAAAATTAGAGTCAAACTAAAACATATGCGCATTTCACGACGCACCAGATTGCCAGGCGGCCGTTAAAGCAGACGCCTCCTGTCTTTTGATGAGCAGGTCCCCTTCTACTTTGTTCCTCCTTTCCACGCTGAAAACATCTGTTTCTTTCTTCAAACTCTCCAGTTCGATTTGGAGAGTCATGATTTCGCGGTCCAGAGCTTCGAGCTCGTCTGGTTTCGATTCTTGAGCAAGGCGCAGAGAAGATGCAGCTTCGTCGACCAGGTCAATTGCTTTGTCAGGAAGGAACCTGTCAGAGATATATCGCGCAGAGTATACGGCGGCTGTATGCTAGGGTTAGTTATACACTCCGGCGAACGAAGACAAACCAGACGCACCAGTGACCAAAGCACCATCTGAAATCTCAACACCATGATGCACCTCATACCTCGGCTTCAGCCCTCGCAAGATCGATATTGTAGAGGCGACGGTTGGCTCGTCGATGGTGACAGGCTGGAAGCGACGTTCCAATGCAGCGTCCTTGCCGATGGTCTTGCGATATTCATCAGCTACGGGGTTTTGAGCACCCAGAAACGGCAGGCAACGTATAAGACAGCTCACGAGTTGTTGCTCCGACTAACTGGAGACCTCTTGCGAGTGCAGGTTTGATCATCTGGCCAGCATCTATGCTGCCTTCAGCCTTCCCGAGGTTGAAGAGCGTATCTGAAACGAGTCATGAGTTCCCTATGTTCCTTGCAAAAACGTTGCTTAGACACTCACGGACTTCGTCGATGAAACAGATAACTTTGCCTTTCTGTAACATTCGTGATGAGAGGATGTCGTAAAAAATGTATTAGTACGCACCTCTTCGTCAATATCACGCAGGAGGGCCTTAAACTTTTCCTCGAACTGCCCCCGAATACCAGACCCTGCCATGATGGCGGAAAGGTCTATAGACAGAACTCGCTTGTTGAACATCGACTAAAGCAAGACATCAGCTATATGCACAGTTGATGCACATAAAGCATACCTCCGGGACCTCCTTCGCGACAATCCTGCTAGCCAACCCTTCCAAAATGGCGGTTTTACCAACTCCAGGAGGACCGATGAGCTATCCAAAGCCGTTAAGTATCCACTACACGTTAAGTACGTTGATTCGAACGTACCACCGGGTTGGACTTCGTCCGACGTGATAAGACTGAAGTATGAACGTCAGGGTTTCTGCTTGAGACGAGTGGACATGAAGCGTACTTTGAATGGTCCTTCGGATTTCTGGAAATCGGCAGGTTAGCGAACGGGCTTAACTGTAAGTTGCAATACATACCTTCATCTCGGCCAATTACAGGATCCAATTTGCCCTCCTTCGCGAGGTGGGTCAAGTCAGTGCTCTGAGCAGAAAGGTCAGCCGAAACCAACGATATACGGCTGAATATATGCGCACATATTCCTTCAAAGCTTCGCCTTTCTGATGCTGTGGACCCATGCTAAATCCAGGGAACCCTCCTCCTCCTTTCCCTCCGCTAGGAGGTCCAGAAGAGTACCGCCGAAGGCTTTGAAATCCTCCTCTGATAGATATGCATGCTGAAGGTACAAGCAGAAGAGGGCCTGGCTTTGGCCGTGTTCGTGCATAGAGATTGACAGTGTTGCTTGGATTTCGCGGTGTAGTAAGCAGAGATAATTGTCGAGAACGCGTAACAACTGGCGTTCGTGCAATTTTGGAGACTTGATTCGCGGTAGAGAGAACACGAGACATATTGGTCGATATGGTGGAGTGGAGGTGAAGGCTGATGAAAGAGTATGAGCGACTGTCGCGGCTCAAAGGCAGATTTGCATGACCGAAGACCAAAGTTGTTGTGCAACCTGAGTCGGCGACGTGGAGGTTTTGTCGCAAGAGATTGTTGGAGAGAGACCCAGAAATTTCGGGAAAGGTGCCGAGGTCCCTGCCAAATGCGTCATAAATGCCGAGGTGCCGACAGCCCGCGGTCCCGCTATCAACCTGAATTTCTCACTCTTCCCTTTGTCACCTTCTGATAGCATGGCAGACCGCACCGACGCAGACTGGCATGCTCTCGTGCAAGCCAAGATATCTGAGGTTCTCTCCGCAACTGAGGAGAGCCTCGAACCTGGTCCACTAGCGTCAGTTAGCACGCCAGCAGACCCTCGTTTCCCTCTGGCGATCGACCATACCTTGCTCAAGCAGGATGCGACACCAGCCCAGATCGATGCTCTTTGCGACGAGGTGATAAAATACGGCTTTAAGGTGTGCAGATACTTCTCTTTTCTTAGCACAATTATCTTAACTTTCTTCAAGTCCTGCTGCGTCAATGGGCTCTACGTCAAGCAAGTGGCGGAACGCCTGAAGGACTCACAGTCGATTGCATGTTCCGTGATTGGCTTTCCTCTGGGTGCAGGATCACCTGAGGCGGAGGCATAGTGAGTACAACGAGATTTCTTGCCAGATCGGCGACCTCAATTGACCGCCCAGAGATGCAGCGAAGCACAACAAGCGATAAAGGATGGTGCACTCGAAATCGACACCGTCTTGCCTGTCGGTCTTCTCGTCGCAAAGCCGCCGCAATACAAGCGCATCTTCGACCACTTGAAGACGATCATTGACGCCGCTAGCCCTGTGCCAGTCAAAGTGATCTTGGAAACAGGGTTGATACCGACGCCAGAACTGAAGATCGCTGCCTCTTTCATTTCTGCTGAAGCGGGAGCTGCTTTCGTGAAGACTTCAACGGGATTTGCGCCGGGGGGAGCGACCAAGGAGGACGTCAGTCTCATGCACCGGACGATCAAATACAAAGGAAGTGTAAAAGTGAAGGCATCAGGAGGAGTGCGAACTTTCGAAGCGTGCCAGGAGATGTTTAAAGCAGGAGCAGAAAGAGTAGGAACGTGCGTGCATCTCCTCTTCTCTCTTATGCGTAAGATCCTGATCATTCATCTTTAGGTCTTCTGGCGCAAGTCTCGTGCAGAATTCTGTTGTAGCAGGTGGCTGTTATTGAGGATGTGATGGTATCCTTTATTCATTTATCTCGATCCAATGCTCAACAGGAAAAGGTCTTTTTTTTTTTTGTTCCTACATGTCCTGACTTTCTAATTGTAAATCTATGTAGACACGATTGAAAAGGCTAACTTCTGATCCACATGGACAAACATCCCTTGCAAAAATATATCCGATTCACCGTGGGACCTCAAGCCTTCTTCACGCGCGAGACGAGGTCGTAAAACGCCGCGCCTTGCGTCTCTGCTATCTCGATCTCACGCTTGGAGGGTTGACGAGTGCCGCTTGGCCCCGCGAGCGTACCGGCACCCCAAGGAGAACCTGAGTACGCAATCGCAGGTTAGCAGCCACCCCGAAACGAGAAATGAATTCGATTTACCTCCATGAACTTCTTCCAAAGTACCGAGTCTGGCCAATCCAGATGCATATCCAAGTGGGACGTAAATGAGGCCATGGTGGACGAGCGTCGAGAGGAATGAGATGGCCGTAGCCTCCTGCCCTCCTCCGATACCACCGGTAGAGACGAAGAGCCCAGCGTGCTTCCCTGCGAGGGTGCCTTGCATCCACAGTTGGCCAGTCGAGTCCCAGAAAGTCTATGAACCCAAAATGTGTGAGTATATGCGCATATTCCACCAAAAAGACCATGGCAGAAAGTCGAAAGGAAGATCCACCTTGAGCTGGGCGGGCATGTTTCCGTAACGCGTCGGGATGCCGAACAAGAATGCGTCGTAGTTGGCCAACGTTTCCGGGGTAGCGATGGGGTAGTCCGGCTTCGCCGGGGCCTTCATCATGGTAAGGATCTCCTGAGGCAAGGTCTCGGTGACCCTGAGCCCCCGAAGGCGCTAATATCAGTCATATGCGCCACACAGCGACGGTAGGTCAACTCACTGATAGATGTCAGCGTTGCCTCCCTTCGAGACGATGCCTGCTTTCTCGGCCTCTGCCACTGAGAGGTACGGGTCAATCTATGTACGTTCATTGAACCGAAGGTGGCACTCACACTTCGCAATGTGGCCGTACATTGAGTATATGAGAATAGCGATGCGTGGAGAAGACATTTATTCTGATAGAAGAATGAGGGGGTGGTGAAGGTAGGTGAATGAAGAGAGCTGCGGTTATATTCTGTTTGGACTCTGGGCACTCTTGGTAGGGTTGAGTAATCTAATCGTTCGGCAGGCATGATGTTGCAGCAAATGGGAGACTATTTTTGGCAGTGGGATATAATTAGAGGTCTATTGGCTACGCAGGAATGACACAGACGCCCTTTCTACAATTTTTTTGAATGGATTATTAGGAATCCAGAGGAAACGAGGGTAATGGAAGTGGCTCAGATCATTGACCCTGCAAAGAGTTGGTCATCTAGTCGTCATCTTATTTGGTCATTTTAAAATCTCATCTCTAACTCCACGCACAAGGCAGACACCTTGATTTGAAAGAAATGCCTCACCGCTCAGCGAAGACCCGGCGTTGGTATAAATGATGAGACGTGGAAACAACTCATTGCAAGAACGTGCGCCACACATGACATCCAGACCAGTAGGAAACACTAAATAATTTCTACTCCAGGAATACATGGTCTAATTCAAGGTCGCGTTGATTTGTAGTTCGTCTACTGCTTGACCTTGGCGAGAGTGTCGTAGAACAACTGGCCTTGGATCTCAGCAACCTCCAGTTCTAGCTTGGAGGGTTGGCGTGAGCCATCAGACGAGGCGAAGGTTCCAGCACCCCAGGGCGATCCTGAAATCGTTGTGAATGAATATCGCACAATAACACAACATGAAAGATTCGACGTACCGCCACGGATCTCCTCGAGGTTCGTGAACTGGGCGAAAGTACGGGAGTAGCCAAGGGGGACGTAGATAACTCCGTGATGAGCCAAAGTCGAGATAGTGTTGATAATAGTGGTCTCCTGTCCACCTCCTTGCCCAGCAGTCGAAACGAAAACGCCAGCGTACTTCCCAGCCAGAGTACCTTTCGCCCAAAGCGGGCCAGTGGCGTCCCAGAAGGCCTACAGGATGCTGCATTAGTGCTCTTGATCAGAAATTGATGTATCTCGTGTGCACACCTTCCATTGCACAGGCATGTTACCAAACCGCGTGGGGATACCGAAGAGGAATCCATCGTATTCGCCGAGGGTGTCGAGAGTGGCGATGGGGTAGTCGGGCTTAGGAGGAGCGTGAAGAATGGAAAGAATGTCCTCTGAGAGGGTTTCTGGAACTCTGGAACAGAATCGTAAGTAACTACGTCGAGTAGATACAACACATGACGGCACATACTGATAAATTGTGGCGTTCCCTCCCTTCGACGTTATTCCGGCTTTGATGGATTCGGCCACTGAAAAAGGACGAAACAGCGCTCAGATAGACGTCGACAGATCATCGCAAAATAGACATACGCTTTCCGATGTGACCGTACAACGTATAAACTATGATAGCGATTCGAGGAGAGGCCATTGTGGTGCGAAGTTATGGAGTCAGAAGCGGGTTTAGTGGTTGGTTGTGAAGGAGATGGAGAACATGATAACGGGATCTCCTCGCTTTATATACCCCGCAGCCGCAACGCGACATGGATCACCCATCTGTAAGCCAAGAAAAGAATAATGAGTTATTGCTTACGCCTGCCTTCATATCGCGTGTCAGCACGAGAATATGTGTCCAAATATGGCAGTACCCGCATTCCAATCAGTAACGCCTTCAGTTTGTTCTGACCAGGTGAGGAGAGGATTTCAAATGTATGCGACATCCTGGCTCTCGCGTCAGAATTGCTACACCTTCTGATTTTCCGGAATCATTGATCGTGGGATGCCAGGGCATGTTTATGTCCCAGAGCACGGGCGCTAATGACCTACCTTTCACCGCCCAGTCCATAAACCACTAGCACCGTGGTTAAATACGTACGAAAAAAGACCCGCAACATTACAGAAGGGAAAATAGCGGAGGGCTAAAGTGTTGAAGGGGCATTTCTCCGGATGAAGCGAGGATAAGAATAGATAAACCCGGCATTCTGCCCGATCTTGACACCTGCAATACAGAAGGCGCTTAAACGGTTCAACGCCAGAAGTGAAGCCACGTTGTGATAATCGAGAAACGTCCACGATAGAGATACCTTGACCAGCTCGTATGATTCGTCCCTACGTTCAAGTTGTTGAATGCTTTCCGCAGAATCCAGTGCCATATCGATACAGATCGAAGTGCAATGGCGTATGATCGCTTAAATTGTGCATCACGAAAGATGTGATAACCACGTAAAAAAGTGTACGCGAAAATACAGAAATAGAAAATATTACTCAGGTAGGTTTTCTTATCGGTTGATAGTAGACCCTAGATTGTGTCTAGCTCTATGACTGCGGGCACAACATGTATTTTCAAGTCTTCATGATCTATTGCGCCGTTCCAGACAGCGAGTTACTGGCTAATATCCCGGTATGGGAATTTTCAATCTGGACGTGCGCCACACTGGTCGATATTTTTTCTCCTTCTACGACTCAATAGCACCCGCACGCAGTGGGCAGTGGGAAACCTATCTTCGGGGAAATTCCACGTTCTTCGCACATGGCTCGAATTGTGTTGCTCTCGAAACATGGTCCTCTCGCCGCACAAGTTGCTCCGCGACTCAATGTATGCGTGGCTCGCGAATTGGCCAAGAGGGAAGCGGTTCAATTGACCAAAGTCGACGTGGCTGATCCCGAAGCTGACCCTTGGACCTGGACGGTCAGTTGGTCCTTTCGGCGAACAAAAGTATGACGGCAACAACGCGTCATAGAGCAGTTCTTATACGCAGAAAATCAGGGGAAATATCAACCTTTCTCGACAGGAATCGACAGGCGACATTTACAGCATCCCTCATGATAGGCGGCACAATAGGCGTTCTCGTGGGTCGACAGTCAGGTCCCGATGTGCGAGATCTGCCAGAAATGATGGCCTGAAGCCTATTAGACTATTAGGCGGGAGGCGCCTGTTCTGGCATCCGAATGCCTTCTCGTGCGCGTACACGAACGAGTTCGTTCGGCCTGGACTGCTTATGTCAGTAGTAACCGAAGAGGTATGACAAGCACCAACACAAGTCTAAGTAAAATCTTGTTCCAAAAAGAATAGATATTTTTGTCAACAAACTACTTCGAAGCAAAGGAATCAACTCAATGATACAACTCCAGGAATAAATAATCAGGGTACAGGGGTAAGGCTTTGGTCTTCTCCGCGAGCGTGCGCTTTAGCCGTCGAGAAGTGCCTGAGCCGCTTTTCGCGCGTTGGCGCGAACAGTCTCCACTTGCAGCTCAAGGTTCCTGATCTTTTCGCGAGCCTCGCGTAACTCGGCCTCGAGACGTGCGTTCTCAGCTTCCAACTCAGCCTCCTGCGTCAGGAAATCCGTTGTCAGCATTGCTTTTATAGAGAAGCGGAGAAGGGCATACCCTGGAAGAATCAACGGTGTACGATCGAGTAGGAGTGCGACTCTCAACAGGAGCCGGTGTAGGTTCCGGTTTCCTTGAAGGCAGCGGCTCAGACACAGTGGCCACGGCAGGCGGGGGAACTGGTGTCGGCAAAGATGCGGTGAAGCTTCGTGTCGCCTGGATGGGAGATGGTGCAGGGACAGCAGAAGACGGGGTCGAGGGAACGGCAGAGAAGGGCGAAGCACTCGCCGGCCCAGGAGCAACAGATGACCCATCGGCGAGGCTGACGCGCTGGAGCGTAGGAACCTTGCCATTGAAGAACTCGGAAGCGGTGACAGAGGGTTCACTTGATGGCGCTGGTGGGTAGATGTCCGACTGGAAAGAATCGGCTTTGCGAGGGACGATGAATGCGATTGGCTCAATGGCGGATCCGTGGACTTTGTAGGCGCGTGCGATCTCGCAGTCGGAGACGTTCAAGGCGCGCCTTGGAAGGAAGCACATGCCACGTTGAGGTTCTGAAGATTTGTGCTCAGAGAGTGCGAAGAGAGAGTCGGACTCGTATTCGTAGTAGCGAATATTGCCGTCACTGTAAATTCATACATTAGTCAGTGTATGCGTTAAAAGACATTGGTGAAACATACCCCTTTCCAGCTGGAAATGGCTTTTGTCAATCAAAGGACGACAGTACTAGGACGATGCCACTTACCAAGGAAAAGAATGTTGTTATCCGTCCAGAACGGCATCACGACACCCGCTGATTGGTCCAAAGAGATCGTCTTGACGTTGCCCAACGCGCTTGTCTCCCAGATACCGACCTGTCGGTCGGACATCTTGCTGAAACCCGTGGTAGCAAGCTTGTCAAGCTCGCCCATCCACACCACACGCGAGCCTTTGACTCCGCTATGGCCGTCGTTGATTCTTACCGGCTCGTTGCCGGCACGAGCATCGAAAATGCGCAGCTTCCTGTCTCTGCAAGTGGTAGCGAGGAGAGTTCCTGTGGGGTTGAAAGCCATGCTCTGGATGACATCGCCGTGTCCACTAAGGATAGCTCGCGCGTCTTCTGGGTTGGCAAGATCCCACAGCTTCACAGCATAGTCCCCAGACGAGCTCGCAACGACGTTGGAAGCGGTTGGGTGGAAAAGGACCTGGCCGATCTTCCTTGGGGAACCATCGATTCGTAGCACTGGATCAAAATCCTGTGCCTCCCAACCTTCCAAGCCCCAACCCTCAAATTGAGATGCTTCGACTTTCCAGATCATGACTTTGCCGTCTTCGCCACCTGATGCGACGATAGAATCGTTGTGTGGGGACCAATCCGTGTCGAGAACTGCAGCGGTATGGCTCCGCGCCAAAGGAATGGGATCGGGCAGCTTGTTGGGAAACCCAGAAATGCTCTGAAAAGGCGATGGAAGAGGCAAGATCGCGAATGCACCACCTCCAGAGGAGTTCCAGTTGACACTGATGTATTGCTGGCCGGTTCAAGTCAACATATGATAAGGTATCTGAATTGCAGGTCTCACCCCCGATGCAGAGATGATATTGGTATCCCAAGCGCTGTTGGTAACCTTCACATTCTCGAAACCGTGCTCCTTCTTCGCTGGCTGGCCGAAGACGTGGCTAGATGGTGGTAGATAATTAATCAGATCTCCCCGCGTCTATCAAGAGGTCTAAGCAATCCTCACCGATATTTTGAGGCTCGGACGAAGCGAGACATGCTTTAAAAGTCTTCAGAAGGAGTCTACAAGTGAAAAGGTCGAAATAAAGGTCGAAATGTTGAGGAAGGTGTGAGAGGAGAGACAATCTTGTGGCTTGGATACTACGTTCAGGGACGTAAGTAGTAGATGAACGTGGGTTAGGGTCAGGATTCGGGCTTCCGCACCGTCGCCTAAACGTCGTCCACCATCTTCCTCATTCCCCACGACGGTGCTGGCTGTTTGTTATCGATATGTCAATCCTTCGTGCTCTTGCAAATGTCAGAGCACGACCTACAGTGTTCCTGGGCAAGAAGGCCGTTGCTCAGCTCTCTAGGGGCTACGCGACTTCCACCGAAGGAGTAGGTCCAGCCTTGCCGCGCAAGAAGGCAGCAAAACTGACCTTTCAGTTCAAAGTTGAAACGGACGGGCCTTTACGATTTTCATGTTGAGAATGGGGCCAAGATGGTACCCTTTGCTGGCTACTCGATGCCTCTCTCGTATGGCGATGTTGGTCAAGGTGTGTTTCCCACAATAATTATAATCTTTCCTTCCATTCACCCGTTCCAGTTGCAAGCCACAACCATGTTCGCAAGAGTGTAGGTATTTTCGATGTGGGCCATATGGTCCAGTCAAAGTTGGTCTCACCGTCCGCCATTGTATTTCTTGACGGCTGATAAGTTGGCGTATCTTAGTTTCCGGGGAAAGACGGCTACTGAATTTTTAGAATGGCTCACACCTTCGTCACTTTCTACCCTCAAACCCTACTCATCAACTCTCACTGTACTCCTCAACGAGAACGGCGGCATCATTGATGACACGATAGTCACCAAACACGCGGCGGACGCGTTCTATGTTGTTACGAACGCGGGATGCCGAGACAAGGATTTGGCGTGGTTCCAACAAAAGCTGGCCGAGTGGAACTCCAGCGACAAGGGAAAAGAAGGCCCCGTCGAGCATGAGGTGCTGGAGAATTGGGGTCTTCTCGCCCTTCAAGGTTACTTTAATTTAATCAGGCAGCCAACGTCCACTCACGAAATGCCATCTTAGGGCCCGAGGCAGCATCATATCTCCAAAGTCTAACCTCCTTTGACCTCCGACAATTGACGTTCGGCACATCTGCGTTTGTCCCAGTGGAGGGTTTCAACCTCCATGTCGCCCGCGGTGGATATACCGGCGAAGACGGGTTCGAGGTATGTTTTCCCGTCGGATGACAAGTAGTCATCGTCTTAACGCAAGCTCTTTACAGATCTCTATCCCTCCATCCCAGACGGTTGAAGTCGCGAAACTTTTGTCGAAGCCGCCAGTGCAGCTCATTGGCCTCGGCGCGCGGGACTCCCTGCGCCTTGAGGCTGGCATGTGCCTTTACGGTAACGACTTAAATGAAACGACAACTCCTGTAGAAGCTGGTCTTTCATGGGTAATCGGTAAGTTGGTCCGAATTTCTGTCGTTCTTTTGACTAAACCCCTTAATTTCAGGGAAAGACAGACGGGAAACCGGAGGATTCGTCGGAGCTGAGACCGTCTTACGACAGTTGAAAGAAAGTCCTTTGAGGCGCCGCGTGGGCCTTGTCGTTGAGGGTGCTCCAGCGCGTCGTGAGTACCGCTCAGACGGAAAAAAAGGCACTCGACTGACCATATTTTTCAGAGGGTACTAAGATTTTTGCTCCTTCCGGAGAAGAAGAGCTAGGTAAGTTGCCGATCGATACTTAAAACTGGAGATGTTTTTGAAGTTGATTTTCAAATCGCGTCTGTAGGTGTAATTACCTCGGGCATTCCCTCGCCTACTCTCGGAAAGAATATCGCGATGGGATACATCAAGTCAGGGTGGCACAAGAAGGGCACCGAAGTTGCGGTCGAAGTTCGCAAACAGCTGCGCAAGGCAGTACTAACCCCCATGCCATTCTCTAAACCCAACTATTGGAGGGGTTAGAGATGAGATTAACCATGATTCGAGTAATGTTGCACCCATTCTAAACCTGACAGTCGAGACAATCGAGTTGGACGTCTGCACAGCCCCGTGACACAGCGGCATCGAACGAACGATATTGTGAATGAAAGCTTGTACTCTATGGCCGGTTCGGAGGCTGGGCTTTCATCCCTTGACATTAAGAATTCTGCTTCTTCAAGTTCTTGAGAGTCTTCGTTCTGATCGACTGGCCTGGCCATTTCTGCTAATGGAAGCTTGTCGAGGCTTTTCAATGTCTTCAGGACTGTAGAGTACTGGAATAGTGGGCTATTCGACGTCCCCAAGGATATCGAAATCTCAGGTGAGGCCTCACCTTTCGACAAGCATCCCATTCAATTAATCTCTATCAAGCAATATCGTACACACTATAAGCGCGTTGATTGTTTATTGGGACCGCGACGGATCAACCCTCCGATTTATTCAATAAAGGCGGCATTATTGTCGGTCAACGGAAGACATTCCGCCGTCGGGGCAATGAGCTGCCGTCTTCGCCACCTTACCTGATCTCCTCGGGCGTCTGTCTGACCACGACGAGGCACCCCAAGGAATGAACGACCATGTTCTGTGGTAGTCCTTGGGTTGGCATCTGGAATAAGGACCACGAGGTGCTTACACGTTCATTATCCTCGCAAATGTGATTTCTCATGTGGAGCATCATTACTGTTGGCCTCGCGTATTCTGATCAAGAGGCGCCTTCTCCAATTCCTTGATAGATGTTTGAGATGGTGCTCAACTTGGTCGTTGGGTGCAGCCTCGATCCCGAAGACATCGTAAGTAGATTGAAGGAGATTGAAATAGATGCGTATCATGTTGATATGCTCGGTACGTTCCGTTAGTATTTTTATCGTCTACTTGATCGCGGTACGCTTTTTCTTTGCGAGCACTTTATCGCTCTGACAGGCGACAAACGGAAGCGCAGATCATCATGTATCTCGACGATTAGCCGCGGAGGCCGACGACTACAAGGCGCATTAAGTTTCAACGTTTTTGAGAGCAACAACCACCCGCAACACATTGCTTTCGGCATGCATCGTGGGAGGAAAGCGAACGCAGTCTTTGCGCTCCCGAATGCTAAGAATTCCTTTCACCGAAGGGTCATGAACATCCAACCAATCCCTCGAATTCCTGTGCGCACTGCAATATTAATTTCAGCTTCAAATTTCCTCCGGGAGTCTTCGTATGTCGGCAAAATGGGTTGACCTTACGGTGATACGGACCGCTCTTTCCCCGCATGGCAAACTACTGCTGCATGGTGTTCTCGAAACAGGGATTCGGACATCCCGAGCGCCGCGATACTTCATCCTATCCACAGCCTTGAGTGAAGCGCAGCTGAGTGTCTCGCACGCTGCCCGAAATTACTTATGTGCATGCAGTGTATCAAATTCAAAGGCAGTTTACACTCCACTTCGAGAGGAGGAGCCGGCTAAAAGATCTGCGCTGTCCTGACGTGAGATTTAACTGGTCTTCTAGCGAGGACAAGCAAGGAGATTCCGCAGAACTGTACGAACGGAGCAACCAGTTGCAACATAGAAAGGCTCCGCCTATTCCGACATATCTTCCGTGAGGCAACCCGCGTGGCCTTTATGTCAAAGGTTCGCCGCTCGTTATTGGGCCGTTTTCATGACCAATCGCTGACGGCTTCCTGTTGAGTCAGGTGGTTATTCTACACGTCCAATGGGGAACCTTGCAGGATTTTTTGCAGAATTCGAAGACTCGTGTTACTTCACCCTGTGTCCTTCACAAGACAAACGCATGTATATCGCTCGAACAAAGGCAACACTTACGTTCTTATTAGGCAAATCGCGATCCGTGGAACTGGGGCGGCCATAGAGTGGATGATATTGTTCCCTCGGGACCAACGAGGGCGGTATCCGTGGTGTAGGGATGCTGGGAAGGCTTTTCAGTTGTTCGACTTTTGACACTCGGCATGGGCGACCAACTTCTTCGAAGCCTGTACGACTTTCGGCCAGAACGCTCTGGTTCTCGTAATGTTTATTCGGGTTCGTTTATAGCCCACATCTATCTTTTTAGGGATAGTACAGGGCGCTGTGGAGCTAGAAGCTTGGGTGTGAAAGATCCCAACTCCCCCCGGAGAGAATGCGCCCTCGACAGAAATAAATAGAGATTTATATGTCCAGCGACACCAATTGACTGAATAAGATTTTGTTCGGAAGTTTTGTCAAAATGTTGTTTAACGATTGGCTTTCCGTGCCGTTGGGGGTATTTCGACGTGCAGTACTCGTCATTGTGACCTCCTAGAACGATAAACCGCTGGAGTCGCAGACATTATCCAAGGCTATGCCGTCAGGCTCAGAGAACAAGAACCCGGGATCGTTCCAGGGGTCTGGAGCAAGTTGAATTCAAAACTGTCAGTTTAAGCGGCGAAAAGAACAGTCGGCCTCTGCAAGAGTAATTACTGGGCGGTGGACATGCATTACTAGGACTGATGCCGCCCGCGTCCTCGCACGACAGATCCTCTAGATCTGCACCGTCCTCCTGCCTTCTAGTGGATTTTCAGCGTTTGATATCTAGATCGAGGGTTGAAAAGAGACTACCTTAACGTACATCTAAGGAATATCTGTAAGTTCCCGAACCCTGATCTCGGAGAACATCCGTTTTGGTCAATGACCCTTGGGGTGGCTTTATTTCACGGTACATGCGGCAGTCGAATTTCAGCAAACTTTCTTACATACTGTCATAATTAATAAACTTATTTAAAGCAACGGAATATGCCAGTGGCCGCGGACACTGCCATCGTGTGGAAAATCAAGTCATAAAGATTTACCACCGCTTAGGCTTATACCCACGCGGTCAGAGTGCGTTTCGACAGAAGAAGCAAGCAATTCCAATGGCGGTGAAATTGGAAAATGAACAGAGGGTGCGCCCATCAAGGTGTGTACAGCAACCTTGACACATCTGACAGCCTCGACGCGTCTTTCTTGTCGAGATTTGTTACCGATCACAGGTAGGTAATCCAGCGGCTTGGGGCCGTGTGCGAAGCAGAAGGCCGCTTTGAAGAAAACACCAGATTGTTTCCGATGCCTTGTAAATGGTATAAAAGCCCTTAGGTTCTCTCTATATTCTCCAGTCGAACACAGTTCAGCTACTTCGAGTCCTACAATCCTCTCACACCTCTCAGCAAAATCAAAATGCGCGTCTCCTCTGCCTTTATGCTCGCCCTCCCCCTCCTTGCGGCTGCCAGCGTCCTCCCCCGCACCGATGGTCCTTCTAACCAGTGCAACACCGGGTCCCTCCAATGCTGCAACTCCGTTCAAGAGGTAAGAGTTCCACGGCTTAATCCGACAAGTATACTCACCTCGGGCTTAGGCGAACTCCAAGGGCCTCGCTGGAATTCTCGGTCTTTTGGGTGTGGTCGTCGGTAGTATCACGGGCCAAGTGGGCGGTAAGTATATACTTTCTCTATGTTCCACAGTCCTCTTACAACCTGGAACCTAGTGACCTGCTCGCCCATCAGCGTCATCGGAATCGGTGGCAACTCTTGCACCGCTCAGCCCGTCTGCTGCACCAACAACAGCTTCGTAAGTAAATCTTCATAAAACTCTGATGAATACGGCTCAATAAATGCTCCAGAATGGTCTCATCGCTCTGGGCTGCACTCCCATCAACATCAACCTCTGAGGGCATACGCTGCATATAACCCACTTGATCGGTTTGGGATGGGCTTGGGATTTGGGTCGTTGATTTTTAGAGAATACTTGTGTTCTATTCAGCGTCGACGATATACTCATTTTTGGCTTCCCTCTTTTTTGATCTTTTTTTGGCGCCCGTGCCTCTTGCCATTACCTTTTTTAGTTGAGCCATCAGTCACGTGCGTTTCTGTAACGCACTCGTCACAAGCCTGAACAAAAGTGACAGCGTGACAACACCACTTGAACTTGGACCACCATGATGGGTTGTGGTGAATAGGCATCGCATACAATTGACCCTGACACAGATGCCAGAGTCCGTCAAGCAACATCTTTAAATGCCTACGGGAATGCCCTACAACTCCTGCGTGCTGCCGTATCGGATTCGCATTGACGACTTCGCGTCGCCTTCGAACCAAGATTCGGACACATCCCCTCTCCTTCATTTGTTAACACACACTCATTCCGACCACATCAGTGGACTCTCCGCCAAATCGTTCGGTTATCAAGTATATTGCTCTCAAGATGCGAAGGAAATGCTTCTTCGGCATGAAGTTTATGCAGAGCGTGAGCTGCAGGCGTTGGAGCTAAGGACACGGAAGATTCGGACGTTCTCGCATCTTAAGGTTGATCCATTGTGCTATCCGGACGGCACCATGTACTATACAGGCTCAAGGGATCTCTTGGTGTGTCGGTTTCTCTCCGGCACTCGCGCGTCACTGAAGGGGACGAGAACAGCGCCCGCTTCCGCTTCACAGACCAACGCGCATAGAGTTATCCGGAAACGAGTCAGTGACGGTAACACTACTTGATGCCAATCATTGTCCCGGTGCAGTCATGTATGTCATTGGTGTCAGTGCGACTCACACTCGTAATGCTGATTCGATTCGATAGGTTCCTTATTGTGGGTGCACACGGCGCGATTCTGCATACAGGTGACTTCCGCGCGGAGCCGTGGTTTCTCGAGTCGATTATCCGCAATCCGCTTCTCCAGCCTTATCTGTCACCTCATACCGATGTTTCCACGTGGGCTGATGAGAAAGGAAGATCTCCTTCCTTGAACAAAACCCTCGAAGCCATCTATCTCGACACTGCTTGTGTCCTCTCCCCAATGACGGTTCCAACTAAGGTAAGCCTATATTCCCAAGGTCTACCCGGTTTTTCATCCGAAAGTCCCGAAGGAATGCGCGACAACCGAACTTGTCAATATCATGAAATTGTATCCCGAATCAGTGTACTTCTATATCAACTCCTGGACGTGGGGCTACGAAGATATTTTGAAGGCAGTAGCAAGAGCCTTCCAATCTAAAGTGAGACTTTTCTTCTGTTATATATATATGGACTCAAATCGCGTACTGGGTGTAGATCCACGTCGACCGATATAAGTACTCCATTTACCAGCACCTCTCCGACCCTTTCCTGGCCATCATTACAACTCAAGATGCGTCTTGCACTCGTTTTCATGCTTGTGAACGTTTTCACCGGTGTTCATACGTCGACGTCGAAAACGATCCGAGTTATCAAAATTCGACGAGTGCCATGGGCAAACGAGTCGTTTATGTCAATCCAGTGACCATGAGTGATACTGCCTGGACAAAATACCTCGAAGATGTCAGGAGTCGTATTTCTTCTGGTGAACAAGTTAATAATTTGGTGCGTTCTCCCTTCGACAATGCATTGGATACTTGTGCTCACGCTATCGGCAGCTTGTGCCCCTTTCGCGCCACTCTACTCTGCCGGAACTTCAAGCCTTCGTCAAACTCTTTCGACCCAAACGCATTGTGCCCAATACTCTTGATCCCCGTTTACTTGGTCTTGATTGGGCCTACATTGACCGTGTCTTTGCGCCTTGCCTCTACTCGTCTCAATCAGCGCATACATCTACCTTACGGTTACGCCTCGGGATCTCCTCGAAGGACACGTTGAAAGCCGAGGAACCAGAATGACTGCGACGTTGCATTGAAGAACCTTGTTGGTGACGGTGCTGCTGATATCGCTGAGCGCTGGGCGGACCAGGGGAAGCTCCTCAAAAAGCTCGCATACATTCGCTGTCACCTCGGGAGGGAGGAGAACGACGTGATCGACCGACTGCTTGGCGTGAATATCCAGGAGCCATCTGTTCATCAGCAACCCGTCACTCCGTTCAGCGTTGACAAAGGCAAGGGCAAAGAAACCCGATCGTCACCACTTTATGGCAGAGTTAGTGAAGAGGACTCTGACTTGGACAGCGACGACGAGCGTGGTCGGACGGCACACAAGCTTTTCGCTGGTCTTGCAGGAATCGGTTCTGACGACAAGGAAAACACTTGGTGGGTGTCGTCGCCTATCACCCAAGGCGACCACGGCGAGGATGATGACGTTCTGGGCGAGCTCGCGAAGAAGGGCCACGGTGTTCCTGTCGGCAACGGAGCGTGGAGGGTGAATCGCTTGACCCCAACATCCTCACCCATTCAGACGAAGGGTCCAGTACAGAGGCAGTTCATGGACAATAATCAGCGCCGTTCACAGGCGTCCTCGAACCGGCCGATTGCCTGCTCTTCAAAAGTGCCGCCCCTTCCTTTCACCCCAATTGCCAGCCGGAACCTTTCGCGAACGGCAATGGCTGGCAAGGGCAAGGAACATCGCCCTGAGTCTCCAATCTGCATCGCCTCTTCCTCCTCTCCCGACGTCCCGGATACAAACCACAAAGACGGGATCGGTCTGACGCGTCGGGCTCCAACTTCCATGGACCTCAACAATCTTTTATCAAACAATCCTTTGGCACGTGACAAAAGTGTATTCTTGTCAAAGCCGCGTGCCCTTGTCTTTCATCCAGCCCAACTCCCTTCACGTATTACAACAAAGGGGAAGAGTAAAACCACGGCCTCTTCTGAAAAACTCCCCCAACAATCTCATCTCAACCCTCCCAACATGACTTCCACGGACGAACTTTTCGACGATTCTAAATCCTTCAACGCGTCGGCGCCTATGAAGAGGAAGCGCTTGTCGTCGGACGCAAGCACACCACCACATATATCATCCAAGAGACAACATCAGGACAGTGGCTCACGAAGTCGCCCGGTGGCAGGACCGTCGGGCGATCCACCGATGGACACACCAACACCGAAGCCAGTCTTAGCACGATCCCCTTCACCCCGCCGCGAGAACGCTCGCCAATCTCTCTCCCCCGTCCCATACGTCCCGAATGAGAAGGAAATGCACCATCTCAGACGCTTGGAAACTGCACGCCAACTTGCCATCACCTACCCTCATCTCGTTGCGCCATCGTATCCCAAGAAGAGGGAACGGCAGCTGGCGCAATGGAGCAGGAGGACAAGGGAGCGCGTTGCAGCGGCGGTTGGTGGGCCGAACGCTTCCTTGCCTATTCCTGCTGCCTCATCCGCATCTGGATCGGGATCAGGTCCGAATATGACGGCGCCGAAGCCTGCTTCTCCACCAAAGGAACATGAGATGGCGAAGTTGAAGGAACGAATGCTTATGCCACAACGGACGGTCCTGTCCTTCGAGACAGTACATGATGAAGGTGAATCATCCTTCGATTGGAATCGAAGTAAACAGCTCGCAGACACAATTCGGCAGGATATCACTAATGGACGGCGTCCTGTCATCCCTCCACTTATATCTGCACAATCACAGTCACAAAGTCTGGAAACGGAATAAGCAATTATAGGTATTTATGCTGCTTGACGATAAGAGGACACGGAATGTACAATACTGGGTTTAGGTAGAATAGGTATGCTTTAAAGTAATTGTAGAGTACGCCGATGATTCCATAAGTATGTTACAAGGATGTAAGTATTGCAGATGAGTGGTTGTAATACAGAGGTCAAAGCTCCTGCACAGCTGGATAATAATTACCAAAGGGGGTCCGGAGCGCGATCGAAACAGACCTCCATTTCATAGTCGCCGACGCGTCTGACCCAACGATAAAATTTGAGCTTGTCGCCCATCATCGCCTTCGCTCGCTCAAAAAGAACGACATCGCTTGCCCGCAGCCAGAAGAGCTGGAAGCTGCGCTGCCTGTCGTATATCATCATATGGGCACCACCAGGCATGCCAGAAAGCGAGATTTGGAATTTGGCGAGGAAAGCCTTGCCGTTGTGGATGGTATTCCACGAGCCACCTTTGAGGGAGCGACAGGTGAGCTTGTGCGTCTTCCAGTCTTGTTGCTGACACTCTGACGAAAGATGAGATTACCTTGAGTCATCCCTGCACGAGTGACGTACCTTTACCGCAGTAGTGCGCAGAGAGACACTGCTTGCAGCGACTGGTGTTCTTCTTGCCACAGACATCGCAGCCAGGATTACGGGTGATCTTCCCGAGTTCGCGCATCCCGAGCGGACACAGCGGGAGAACAAAGGATGCATTGAGCCCGAGTTTCTTCGCTTCTCCCTTCCCGTTGATGGCCTGGTACCTAGGATGCAGCTTCTTCGCGTTTCTCTGGAAGAGCGTGAGCAGAGCTCGGCGCTCAAGGTCGCTGATCTGGACCGTAGCGCGAGCGCCCTCGAGGCGGAACATGTTAAAGAGGCTCTCAAGAGTCTGCGCCCCGGTTGGCACAAGCTCTTTGTAGATGAACAAGAACAAAGGAACGTCGTTCTTGATCTTATGGACTTCCAAGAGCTAGGGCCCAGGAAGGTGAATATATGCACGGCGAAAAGAAACCGAAAACTCACCCGAACAAAAATTCCCCACCGCTCGTTCTCATCCGTGTAGCAGACCTCGCGTAGGTCCTGGTCGTACATATATGCGAACCCTAGGATACTTTGGCGCATTTCTTTGAAGACATCCTCCGGCGGCGCACGTGCACCTTTCTTTGCTTGGTACATGGATCCGTCCATCGCTTCAGAAATATTGCCACGCTGTGATGCCTCGAATAGGGTCTTGTCCGACGACCATTTGGGATGCAAGTCGGGGTCGACGGGTGTCGCCTCGACAAGCGCTGAAAGTTGTTGCGACGCGTCCAGGGCGTGTGCAAGGCGTTTCCGCAGGTCCTCTTCAGGTAATTTGGTGTTTTCTGGGAGTGTGGCACCCATAGAAGTGAGCAGACCGAGAAGATCCTCGCGAGAAAGGTTTTTCGTGGTCATGGTGGTTCGTGAAAGAGATCTTGTTCTGCTTTGAAAGGAAATGGTTCATAATTGTGCTCGGCAGGAAAATGCCGAAATTATATAGGCTTTCGAAATTTCTTGGCCACTCACCACCACCATTCTCCTTACATCCTCCAGCATAAAGTTGGCCTTGACTCGGTAACTGCTGGACTATGGCGGCCATGTGTCAGAAGGCATTAGAGTGAGTTAATTGCTACTTTTTGGAGTGTTTAAGGGGGGATTCTATTCGCGAACCCCCTTGGTTTGCGAACCCCTCCGGGAGATCAAAGTTTAACGGCACTTCCGGCCGACCAGCCGCAACAGGCAGGAGCCGTGACTGGCCGGATTAGGGTGCCGGAGTAGCGCCTGCCATGACATCATACGTTTGCCTGCGCCTGCATGTACTTAGGCCTTAGGACTCACCTGAGGAAACCTGGCGCTCGACGAACGAGCCAACAATGTCGACATCGCCCATCCGTGACCCGCATTCTCAGCACTCGCGCAGGTCATCTAAATCTGCATTCTTTTGTATTCGGTGCCTGACTAATCTCTCGACTTCAGCCTAGCAGACCATGACTGCCAGTGAGGCATGCTGCTATTATCCACGCACCACGTTGAAAGGCACGAGGACGAATGAAAAAGATAATCTTCGGATATGTTGTGGGGGTTCCGGGTGGGTCCTTCCTCTTCAGCGTCAATAGAAGATCCCGAGCAGTGAGAAACACTCTTCCTCGCTCATACATTTCTGAAGGGAGGTCACGAAATTGAGCTGCACCCTCGTGTACCCTTCTTTAAGTGCGCAAAAACCTTCAACTAAATCATGATTTCCACGTTTCAACTCTGTTATCGTTGCTGATATCACCGCTTCCTCCGAGGCTCTGCGCTCGTTGCCTCCTGCCCTCTGGTATGGTCAGATATGTCACCCATTCTTTCTGACCTATCCTCTCCACAGATTATTTTTATTCTCTGTGATGAGCACCTGGCATTGACCATATTGTTCCTCATGCACTTGAGTCATGAGCCTTGTTCCTGCTGTTGGAATTCTGCATTGCATAATGCGGTGTCGAGCGCCGCATCGCAGGAGCGGTGCGTTGTCGCTGCGAGAACGTAGGCAAGTAATATTTTGCATCTTATTCTTTCCGGGCGCTACGGGCAAGCGCCACAAGTAATTACATTTTATCTACGTTGTAGGTAAGCAGTGGATAATGGAATTGAACCCTCGCGCGATTGCGAGGGTCCCTGTTCTCACTCGAGTAGACGACGCGGACAAGTTTATTTAAACACCTGCTCCGTGGCCAGGGAAGCAATCACCATTTACTACGTTGATTCCAATTTCCAGCGCTGCTGCCGAGGCTGAGCCAACTTATCAATCTTTAAGAAATATCTATGGGATGGCAAAGGTAGGGCCACACCAGCATGGGTAGCTTTACCAATACGAGAGCCCTAATTACCACCCTAGAATACAACTAAATAACGACTACTTATTCTGTTGCTGCTGCGCTGCATGACAGTGTGGTGCTTGTGGGCAAGCCCCTATCCGGACCAAATGTCACAGCTGTGACAATATTTGTCATCCCGTAATCTCTCCGAAAGGCGTCCGGGATCTGGGGGTTCATGAGGGGTTCGCACAAATATGGGGTTCGTGAATAGAATTCCCCGTGTTTAAGAGAGCAGAAACCTGACGTGAATGCCCGAGGAGGCGAAGTATTCAATCCAACTGTGGGCCTAATCGAAAGAGTCACAGGAATATCTACCTACCTGAACGAGCGGAGGTCAAGGATAAGGTGCAGGATATACTAAATTTTTATATCATAATTTTAAGTCTTGTTTGACGACAGCTTTTAAAATGCCCACGAACACATTTGAACTGTTTCTTGACCTTTTCCTCAAGCGCCAGCAATTACCAGCCCTTGAATACCTTCCCGACGGCGCCGATCTCCTCGATTTCCATGCTGTATAACGGTAGGTCTGTGGTTTTACGCGACTGAGAATTGCGTTACCCAAATTATGACAGCTTTGGTCAAGCTTTGGTATTGGTCGAACCTTAGAAATGTTTTCTAGCGAATCTGTCGAACTCCACGCCAAGACTCCGGCAACGCCAAGGCATTTCTTGTTCACGTGCTGACCTTGTAATCTCAGACCTCGGATCGCTGCCATTTGCCCGTCAGCCACAGTGGAGGCACCGCATGGCGACCTTGACCTCTCTTTTCCCCTCCGACCATGACAGACACCGCTGCAAGAATGGGTGAGATTGCACATGAGTCAGTCTACTCCCTTTTTTTTCCGCCTTAGCTGACTTTCTCCTCAAGGACCACCTCCATCTTGGAATCAGAACCCAGCGCAACTATACATCGCCCACCGCCTCTTCTCCCAGAAATCTGGGTGCTCATATTCCCGTATCTCAAACCACACGACCTCCATTCCATTTCCTTGACCTGCTCGACCTTCCGATACATCGCCCAGCCGATCCTTTTCACTGTTCTCGACTTATCGCCTTTTTTGCTGTCGTACAACACCGAACATCCCATCCTACGCCCTCAGCACTATCTAACCAGATTTCTGCGAAGGCTGGAGTGCTTTAAGCAGCCCCACATCGCTCATGGAGTGCGACACTGTTGGGTATCGCCCTACTCCCGCTTCGGCTTTCCACCCCGAAACCAGCAAGACGACCTGGACCCGAATCTCATCATCAACGCAGCCGTCGAGGCGCTTCCCCACTTCCCCAATCTACACACGCTCTCGTGGCACTGCATCGACATCACACCCCAATGGTGGCGAACCATCCAATCCCTGAAGATCCAGAAGCTATGGCTCAATTCATCCTCCATTCCCCAAACTACGACATCGCCTCTACTCTTTGTGGTCCACCTCGACCTCGACCAGTGGCCGTGGGAGGGAAGGACCACGAATCACGTCTCCATTCACGAGGAGCGTACCCCAGGAGTCGGGCTGTCCACCCTCCAACATGTCATCAATCCAGACGTCACTCAGTCTATTTCTGTACCCAGAGTCGACACGGCCTGCCGACTATTCGCGGTCCTTTCAGAGCAGACATACTCGCTACGCTCGCTGAACGTGCCGTTCAACGCTGTTCCCGACCGCCATTTTGTGGGCGCACTCGAACAGTGCCCTTATCTTGAATCACTATGCATATTCCCTCCTTCATCCGACGAGCCGTATCGAGACATAAAGATTGGTGCTGTGGGGCGTTCTACACTTCACAGGTTGACGGCGTATGAAGGCCCATACACTCATGTGATCCAATTCGCACACCAGCCGTTGAAACAGATATCGCTGTGGGGATTTGACGATAGACCGTCGTTGTGCGATCCCGAGGCATTGGTAGCGGTGTTGACAGAGCTGGCAGAAAACACGACCGCGGAGAGTTTGGAATCGCTGACGCTGACCGTCTTCAGCATCACGCGAGATCTTCTTGAATCCTTCTCCGGGTTTACCAATCTTCGACAAATTATTCTACAGTCACAAGACAACACGTCCAGGAGTATGCCAATGCCCTATTCGATTCGGCCAAACGCGCCGGTTACTGTGTGTTTCTTCGTCCTCTCCTGTTTTCGCATTCTGATTCGGTGCCATAGACTCTATACACGATGATGGCCACAGCTTCCTTTCCAGAAACGTTGCGCTTTCTCAAACTGACGACTCGACTACGCAGCCCACGCCTTGATCTAGCCGCACAGGAGCACGAAGCAGCCTGCTTCACCGAGGCTATCGCGCGGAGGCACCCAAATCTCCAGCGTATCGAATTGGGATACGGAATATATTGGACAGGGACCTACAGCGCCGTTTGGGGTCGCATTCGGGACAACGTAGCCCTTCGAGCCGCAAATCCAAACACGGGTCGTGTGGAGTCGGAACGCTCAGGCGAGTTCTCCACAGGAGAGGATGCAAAAGGCGACACCGACCCCACCACCGATCCCGCCGCCCATCCACCGCGGATCGCGAAGGAGGATATGGAAGGAGGGTACTCTTCCAAGTCGTCCTCGAAGGATTACATCATGTCCACAGTGGTGTCGACCGTGCACCCCCTGCCACTCGGCAAACTCACGTTCACAGAGCATCGGCGCACAATTTTGTTTGGAAACGATACTGAGCCTGGTATATCTACGGAGGGATTTGGGTTCGGGCTTGAGGACGGGTCGGCTGATGGTGCCAGGAGCTTCTGGATGACCGCCTGGATGCGGTTACGACGGTTATTTGGGAAGTATGGGGGTTGAATATTTCTACTCTTGATTACATTCAGTTAATAGGCTGCGTTATCCTTCATGGATCTTAATATTTACGTGGGTTGTAATGTCATTAATATCTGTACAACAAAAATCCCTACTCGACCTGAAACGAGTCAACCAACAACAGCCATAGTTATACGACCGCAAGGTCGGGCATGCGTAGACGTATTGTTGTCCTCTATGTAATCCCGGAACCTCCGGATAGTTTCAGATGGAAAATCTGGGGTATCATTATGGATCTTAAAGATGAAGCATTTCAGAACAGGAAATATGTCCTTGTTGACCACGAGTCTCGGTAGCGATGTGATGCGTTGTCTTGTGCAGGAATAACGAAGCACTAGACAGCGGTGGAAATGCGGGCGTAAGATGTCCGTGTAGGTCTGCAAAAGCGTGCCTTCATCAGGATGTCGAGGACTGTCGCGGATATCGCCAATGTAGACTTCGATTGGGAGGTCGCGCGACCACCGTAGGTAGCCGGCGAGTCTTTCAGGGGGCGTGTACTCTCCACGGGCAAGGGATACCACAACACGAGTCCAGAACGAAGGGTGCGTGCTCAGGACATCGCACCAGTGCCTGCACACCTTCGCCTGGGCATAGGGGAAGTCTGTCTCCCTGGGCTCGAAGTCGCAAACCCGACGCCGTACGCAATCGCAAGTACGAGGGTTCTTGATGTGCCGCTTGTAGTGCGCGATGGGTAGCTTGTGGGCTCTCGTTGACGATGCAAGGAGGTTGAAGATGATGGAGAGCAGCTCGACGGGTAAGGAAGCGATCCCAACACATTCGCGGTGGCTTTCCGACTTGGATGGCCGAGAACTTGAGCTTTCTGAGTCGGACAGACGTAAAGTATAAGGTTTCCCAAATAGAGACGTAAAGGTCTCCTGCTGGAGGGTATGCTGAATGTTCAGAGGGACGCGTCAGTGCTAGTTTGGTGAAAGATGAGTTCAGCCAACCTCGATTGTTACGTGCCGAACAGTGGCTTCGAATGAGCCACACCTATTGCCCTGGTCGTTGAAAGGGAAAGACTGGTCTAATTCCATCGGAGGATGGAATAGGCAAACCCGTAGCGTATGTGATGGTTTATGGTGGCGGTAGAAAGGGTAGACGACAGGCGCTGGTCCAATTATAAACCGGTGAATTTGTGCATGTTAGCCTGATTAAATTGTGGCACAATGAATCTTATCGGCGACATCGCACACAAATGCAGTCCGGTGGCATATCTAAAGTACATTGCGATTAATGCTAGAAAAAAGTAGGGTTGTGTACAGTGGACAGATCACCAAGCCGGAATCTGATGAGGAGCACAATCAAAGCAAATGCTCAGTTCAGATTCCCCGACACGCTTTGCATACCGATAAATCTTCAGCGCATCGCCGATGATTTCCTCTGCGTTGTCAAACAGGTCCGGGTCACTATTTCTCAACCAGGAGACCTGGAAGCTCCTTTGACGGTCGTAGATGAGTATATGAGCCTCATCACCAAAGGCGAACACGGAAATCTGAATCTTGACCAAGAAATCCTTGTCCCCATGCACGTTGGGTGGCGAGCTCCCTTCTATTCTCCCTTCGACCTGGTTTCTGGCCTTAATTTCCGCAGGAGTATCCATCTTATTCAGAACGAGTCGGAGGCCTTTGCTGTTCTCCTTCTCGAAAGTGATCGTGCTCCAGGTGCCGCCTTTGAGAGAACGGCAAGTTTTTTTGTGATTGGGCCAATCGGCCGTCTGACATTCGAGAGGGGAGGCGGATTGCGTGTCAGCTTCAGACTATTTCTGAATGCTTCAATCATGTTACCCCGTTTCGTCGCATCCAGCAGCGTTTTCTCTGATGACCAGAGTGGATATTCAGTTGGGTCGACGGCGACGGCCCTGGACCCGAAGACATTCTGAAACTCTTGAGCGGCATCCAGGGCCTGTGTCAGGCGCTTTTGCAGCTCTTCAGATTGGAGTTTGGTTTCTCTAGGAAGTCGTATGCCCATGGATTCAAGTAGAACCAACAAATCTTCGCGAGGGATGTCGGACGCAGCCATGTTGGATTGTGGAAGAGAGACAAGGGGAAAGGTCCCGTTGTTTACCCTAATATGTTCTAGGTGTCGCCAAACAACGCGTACGCGTCTCACAATCAGGGGAATGCCCACTCCCACAGCTTGCGTCTGACCTTCATCATGGTTATTCGACAAGACAAACCCACACGCTCAGCGCGAATTTCCACGACATTCACTTACAACAGAGTCAAGGAGATTACAAGCCTTAACCTGCCCGCTCTCCATCGAACCCACTCTGCCGGCGACATGTCTGTGGCCAGCGTGACGCCCAGCTGCACCAACTCTGAAAAAGAACAACGCGAACATATCAGAGCGGATGAGCCTTGCTTCATAACAAGAAAACCTGGATACGCTCTCCAGAAAGCTCATTGGATCAATGCTGTGAGGGAAAATCCGCCTGAGAAGGTGGCAGTAGTACGTTCTCTATTGTGGAATGATTTTGAACTTGTCTGACCATAAAATAGGAACGTTTCCTCAACGGTTTGAGCGTTGTTCGTAGAGATTTCAGCTTGAACTCTGCTAGTAACCTCACGCCTCGTAAGTTTATGCGAATTCTTCTGCGCCGTGGCTATTGAAGAACTCTCTTCGTAGTGGATCCGACTTTGTACTATACTATGGATAAACTTGGATTCTTCGCTGTCACTTGCTCAAAGGTCACACTCAATTCCATGATAGAGGTGGTCGACGCAGAAAATAAGAAGTTGGTCGATCAGTATCCCAGCGCATACACCCGATTTTTCGACGTGAGTTCCTGATGTCCTGCCTAAGCACCTGTGCTCAGGCAAGTTTTCCAGATTGAGAAAGAGCCATTCTCGAATGCGGAATACGAGATGGTGGTCCTACACCCGGACCACTTTCTTCCCATCGGCAGCGCCCTAGCTATGCACACTCAGGATCCTAACAATCCTGCCCGCTTGGTCGGAAAGTTGTATATGGCGAGTGCGGATGGGGCTTTGCGCGAGACATCGAACAACGACTCTCCACGGTTTCCTGCCTTTCGTCCCACCTGCCGCCTTGCACAGAAGCACTGCCTCAATCCGTTCCTCGTTGTTCTCAACGCCGCCATGGCGTTCCGGCGATACATGAGGTCCGCCTTCCAGCCTCTATGCGTGGACTATCAAGAACTTGTCAACTTGACCCTCGCCCTCGCGGACAAGATATACTACAAGCCTGTTGTCCAAGTTGCTCTGGGAGCATCTGAAGGAGCATTCGTGCTTGCCGCTTCGAAAGCTGCGAGAAACAATGAAGACCAAGATGTGGTGATGGAAAACGTGGACGAATTAGGTTCCTTGACTCGGCGCGGCGAGGATAAGACCCTCACTCCAAAAGGACGAGGTAGAGGCAGGCGGGATGTGGCTATGAGGTCCTCCAGGTTTGGCGCTGAAGTCGAAAAGCCTCCCCCGGATGCTTCCCGCGAGGAAATTGTGGACTACTGTCACTATCTTATTTCTGGTCGAGGTAAGTCTGTCATCTGACTGCTAGGAGATTCTTTCTGATGTGTTGTTTAGATGAGCCGCTCGATCGGAAAGATGAAGCGATTCTGGCTTCGATTGGCTTATATCCCACTGGCAGGGACGACGATGACGATGACGAATATTCCGACAGCGAGGAGGATGAAGAGGAGGATGGGCTGGGCAAAGAGTACACCGACGCTGCTCCAGATACTACAGGTGTGCTTCTCCGTCGATCCTGAAATGCATCAGTGAAGGACGAGTTCTTGCTCGATCTCTGAAATACAAGATGCAATTTACGTGTAGGACCTACCTCTATCTTTCTATTGTGATTCTTTCTTGAAACAACCATCAAACTCATGATTAGATAACGGGAATTTTAACTTTTTTCCATCCTCAGAGAAGATGTACCGTTAGTAGACCTTCCTCTTGGTCAAGAAAATATTAAAAAATGAAAACAAATAATATTTCCACTCAAAATTGCAATAAATGTATTAGACCAGAAGTGAGTACTGTGTACAGTGTATGTGATTATGATGAAGGGTAGATGTGAGATTGATCTAAGATCTAACTAACTAAGATGTGCCTCCTTTGCTGCAGTTTTGAGCAAACCCATAGAGAGAATAAAAGTAAATACCAAAGAAGAGGGTTATAAACAATCTGTATAGAGATTTTTGCGACCTCATGACCTCTTTCTGAGGAGGGAGAGCCCACTCAGATCTCTTGAGCTTAGAGTTTGGGCCAAATTTGGCAATCTCGCTCGACTGACCTGCAGTCATTGAGCAATTTTCATGTTTAAACTCAACATGAGCACACAATTACTTTCATAGTACTTCATAAGACATATATCTATGGTTGTGCAAATTTTTCTGTCCCAAGGCTTCCTCAATCTTCCGCAAACCTGCGGGTGAGTCCGGGTGACTCGTTACTGCTGGTGACCTGTTAGGGGTCATGTGACAGTAGGTGCAAGCACAACCAAGCAAATGCTGCGCAAAGTGGGGTTGCACATTGTTTGGTGGTAGACGAAGGATCTGCTGAGGGCGCTGATTCTGTAATTTCATTTTTTCATTGAAATTTCTGACACCAAAGTCAATTACTGACCAGCTTATATGCAGCTTCAGCTGAGTGTTTCAATTCAGGAGGCCGCAAAGGAGCAGGGTGAAAGGAAAGCATCTTTGAGAATACACAGATAAATTGGGGAGAAAAATGTATGCATATAGTGAATCAGAAATCCAAAGAGCATATATACCTAGCATTTAGTATGAAGCGCCATACTGGACAAAAATCACCTCCGATTTTTTTCTGAGCCTAGTTTATGAAGAAATCTTAAATAATCCTCAAGAATTCTTGAGATTCTTAAGTGATCCTTGAGATTTCTAGGGAAGCCTCGAGAATTCTTGATTACCCTCAAGAATTCTTCAAGAATCCTAAATAATCTTAAAGAAAATGCAAGAATCATAATGATTCGTTAAGAACAACCCGTTTCGTTTTCACGGGTCATTAGGAATACTCAAGAATCTTTAAGAATCTTGACTCCCAAAAAAGGTGGGCCACTTAAAAACTAAATCGGCATTCATTGAGAATCTCTAGGATTCCTTAGGAATCTTAAAGACAGTGCTGATTTTGTTGTCGAATCACCTTACGTCGCATTTTAAATTTCCATGCTGATTCTCTGACTTTCCTGAATATTCTGTAAGAAACCTTCAGATGTCTCAAATGAAAAGGCACTGGCACGAATTCTAGGTCTATTGACAGAGCAAGTAAGGCTACATATATCTCGGCCTATATGGTACCCAACACAGAAGACAGACAAAGTACAGAATATGAAACGAAAGGCTACTGGGTAAGAGGAGATGGTCATGAAGTGGCCAACAAGAATGGCAGTCCCGTCTAAACGATGCGTGAGGCACACTATGGTCTCATGCTGGCATTCGAGACCACCCAACAAAAACAATGGGCTTCAACATGGCTGCCTCCCAGCGCCAAATGAAAGGCGGCTGTCAGTGGAAAGTTGATGAGGCTTTTCAAGAAAGCAAAAATGATTGGTGAGGGTAATTGGACAAGTGATGCAGGTGACCAGATGGAGGAGATTATGCCCCAACCGTGATGCGAACGACCCCAAGGATGGCCAAACATGCAGGAGAGGATGGGAAACGGACGACTGAGACTACCGCCAGCACAAAAGTTCAAAACTATTGCAGAAGGAGCCACTGTCGCCCTCGATGCCCTAGGCCAATGGTCAGAATTAGCAGACGAAAGGAATTCGAACAACATACTCAAAAATGTTTGATCTGCGCAACATCGGCAAAGGACACAGCCATGTCAGCTAAAAATCTATATCAAACCCTGTGTTTAGCCAGTGTGACCTCACATGTCCAGACTGTGTTTGAGCAGTCAGGTTTTCCGAGGCTGGTGGGGTGAGTTTGCCAGGGATGCCGGGGCCATAGGGATGGGAGAGGG